TTAGTATTTTCGGTTCAACCCTCAGAGGTAGTAAAAACGCTTCCGTCAACCGACGGAACAATTGATATTTTCGACCATCCTGAAGTACCGGCATTCAGCGACACCATGTCGGATGACAATTTGCCCGATTTATACTCTCATTTTAAAAACGAAAAAGACAGTGAAATTTACGAAAAAGAACGTAAACAATTTGGCGATTCACCAAAACAATCTAAGCGTAAAAATTTGATTTTAAAAAGTAACACACCGACTGACTGCAGCAGGTCATCTAAATTATCTAACGCAATAACCACTGAAGAAGATTTAAAAGAGGTTAGTCGAAATTTAAATATATTTTCCAATTCGAACAAAACTGATCAACCTCCAAGTCCAGTGCAAGCGTCTGTCGTGATGTAATGCGGAAATCCGCAAAATAAAGCTAAATTTCGAATGGATAAAAAAATTTGGAGTAATCTTTTTAAATGCATTATTGGGAGGCGAATAAAAAATCCGAACTGGGTCGATGTCATTAGAAGTGCTATTAAAAAAAGTGACCCATACTGTTCGTATGCATTTAGATGGCATACTGTAAATTCGGGAGACTTTTCTGAACGCGTTTTCGCTTGCAGTGGACACTGTGGCTTCTCGGGCTGCAGTCGTAAAATATCTGTAATATCCTATAGAGAGGACCCTCGCATGTTCCATGTTAGGTATACGGGAAATAGGTATCACGTTGGTATTAAATCAATCCAACTTAAGGGTAAACGGCGGGAGGAATTGAAAGAAAAATTGGTTCATTCTCTTCCTCGCAATATGTATTTAAAAAAAATTGGTGCCCTCTCCTCCGATGTTTTTCATTCTGGTAATAGGGACGATGCTCCGTCACAGGCGGTGTTAAAAAAGGCGCGATATGAGGCTAGATTGGTAAATGTCCCAGATTTCGATAATCAATGGAATTCGCTTGACTGTTTGAGAAAATTTCAGGCCAGAAAATGCAACAATAAATTAATTCGTGGAACCTTGCAGCAAATTTCACAAGTTCCTCCAGGTATTATGTTGTGGTCGGAACAGTCTGTAAGAATATTCATCCAAAATGCTCAAAATGACATAATTTATATTGACGCTACTGGTGGGGTACTGCCTTCTGGTGCCCAAAGCCCATATTACATTTACGAAATAGTTACTCGCCATCCCCAAAAGGGCAAATCCCCATTTGCTGTTGCAACGTTTGTTACGAATCGGCACAACATTGCAAATATTTCGAACTTTTTGTCACAATTCCGTTCTGATGTTTCCAAATTGACCAAACGATTTCCCGCAAAAGTTTTTATATGTGATGGTAGTATGGCCCTCATTAAGTCGATAATTCAGGTAAACATGCGCGAAAGTTTAGAGGCCTACATATCACGCTGTTATTCGGTCATTCAAGGCAGTGCAAATTTGGATATGCTTCCCCGACCCTTTCTTCACCTATGCACCAGCCATACCATGAAAAATTTCAAGCAATTGGCGTGTAGGGTTCCAAAAGTAAAGCGGGAATTCATGCATATATTTGGGTTGCTTGTTTGCTGCAAGGAAATTAAAAAACTTTGTAAAATTATTTATCATTTGACAATATTATTGATATCCCTGAATTCGAATCTTGTTGATAATAGCTGGTCGTACTTGAAAAAGCGTATCGAAAAACAAAATATTCCACCCCCACCCGAATGTGTTTTCGATCATGAAGCATCGGGTGAACTTTTACCAGATGCAGACTGGAGTGAGAGTAATCCTTTTACCGAATTACTATATCTGGATATTGCTAGAGCTACAAAAATTGCTACTGATGCGGGTTTTTGTGGTTCCAACTCTTTTTATTGTCCGGAAGTAATGACTAAATTTAAAACGTTTTATGTACCCAAAATTTGTCTATGGGGCGCTTTGCTAGTAGGTGATTTGGGCAGGTTTGGTACAACAATAGGCTATGAAAAGTATAAGCATTTTTACGCCAAATCATCGGTCTCTAACAAACAGAACTTAGCAAAAGATAATCGAACACAGGGAATCATGGAGAAAAGTCAACAGGAGCTTAAGCGTACTCGTTTCAACAACAGGCGGTTTAAACGTCTTGACGAGATCGCTGTAGTGTATGATCAACTTCATGATTCCCTAATTAGGGAATATCAGGATAATTTGATTGTTCGTCCCAAAAAAAGGAAAGTCGATAACAGAGACCAAATTGACCAAGAAATTGAGAAATGGGGTAAAAGATGTAGAAATATGGGTAATGATAAATCGAAAGGTATATATTTACAGCCACCGTCTAGACCTCTGAAAGCTTCTTGCCCAATAGAATTGCTTGATAATGATGTATTGGAAACGGAAATAATATGTGAGGGGTCTTCTCAGTCAATGGCATTGCGATTTAGGTCACCCAAAATTGATTTTCGAAACTTGGTACATATGTCCAACGTTGACTTTGAAATATTGAGCTCCAATACCAATTTCCGAAGGGATTGGTTCACATCGGACATTATAAATACCGCATCGCTGATTTTGTCATCGCAGTACCCGAATGCTGACGGCCTTCAAAGCACGACACTTTATACCACAATATCTGGCCCAAAGGTCTACGCTCCTTTCAAAAAGTTTATTCAAATTTTGTTCGTGCATGATAATCACTGGGTAGCTGCGTCAAACATATTTTCTTTCAATCAGAATACCATTCAAATCTATGATAGTTCGTACTTGAAATACACAGAAAATGACAAATATGCTATTTCGCTTCTCATGCGGCCAACATTAGGAACAAACAAACTACAGATTGAATTTCCTCCCGTCCAGCAACAAACGTTAGGTGCATCTTGCGGACCATTTGCGATAAGTTTTTGCATAGCTTTATGCGAAAGAATTAGACCAGAGGATATAGTTTTCGATGAGATAAATCTGCGAAAAAATATTTATGATGGCATAAGTTCTAAACGATTCTCACCAAATTTTAATATCGGCCGAAACCACAATAAAACCAATACGAAATTTATGGATATTCAGATATTTTGTAACTGCCGACTGCCCTACATACAAAATCAGACTATGATAGAATGCACTTCATGTTTGGAATGGTACCACCCGGAATGTTGCAATACTCCTGTGCCAACTGAGGCACTGGAAGATTGCAAAATTGAATGGCATTGCGAGAAGTGCAATCGATGCTAAATTTTTTCGTTATATATTCACCATATGCCTAACTCCAATTATTTTTCAGATCCATCGGCTTCATGGACACACAAATGATCAGTCTATTTTACCTTTTGCAATAAATGCCAAAGTTAAGGGTTTTCTCTCTCGATCGTCGCCAGTTTTGAGATGAAAACCATCACGATAGTTGGCACCTTGACGTGGTGTGGTGGCTTACTACTAAGACCAACTAATTATCCAATGCAATAAGTGTGTCTACTACCCAAAGTGTAAATGGGACCCTGATTATAAGACATTTTTTTAAGGGCGAACTATGTCATTTTGCCATTTCTATCGTAAATTGACTAGCGGGCCATGTTTAAGCGATTATAAAAATATTTTTCCCCCAATACAAATTTTTCAAACTAGCTGTATTAACACTTTATTATATGTACTACTGCTGGTCTTGTGTAAATGAGGGGCTCGTAATTGTAAGATACTCATTTTTTGAGACAAATTAGTTTTTTTTACCATTTCTATCATTAATTGACTAGCGGGCCATGTTTAAGCGATTATAAAAATATCTTCCCCCCATTCAAACTTTTTCAAACTTGCTGTATTAACACTTTATTATATGTACTACTGCTGGTCCTGTGTAAATGTGGGGCCCATAACTGCAAGACACTCATTTTTTGGGGCAAAAGAGGTCTTTTTGCCATTTCTATCATAAATTGACTATCGGGCCATGTTTATGCGATAATAAAAATATCTTCCCCCCATACAAACTTTTTCAAACTCGCTGTATAAACACTTTGTTATATGTACTACTGCTCGTCCTGTGTAAATGTGGGGCCCATAACTGCAAGACACTCATTTTTTGGGGCAAAAGAGGTCTTTTTGCCATTTTTCTCATAAATTGACTATCGGGCCATGTTTATGCGATAATAAAAATATCTTCCCCCCATACAAACTTTTTCAAACTCGCTGTATTAATACTTTATAATATGTACTACTACTGGTCTTGTGTAAATGAGGGGCCCGTAATTTCAAGACACTCATTTTTTGGGGAAAACTAGTTCTTTTTAAAATTTTTTTTCATAAATTGACTATCGGGCCATGTTTAAGCGATAATAAAAATATCTTCCCCCCATACAAACTTTTTCAAACTCGCTGTATTAACATTTTATTATATGTACTACTACTGGTCTTTCGTAAATGTGGGGACCGTAATTACAAGACACTCTTTTTTTGGAGCAAAGAGGTCTTTTTGCCATTTCTATCATAAATTGACAAGCGGGTCATGTTTAAACGAGAATAGAAATATCTTCCCCCCATACAAACTTTTTGAAACTCGTTGTATAAACACTTTATTAAATGTACTACTGTTGTTTATGTATAAATGGAGAGTTATGATTGTAAGACACATCTTTTTGGAGGCAAAGTAGGTCTTTTTACCAATTTTATTAAAAATTGACGACTGGGACAGGTTTAAACGATAGTAAGTATCTCTTCCACCTATCCAATATTTGTCAAACTCGTTGTGTTTACTTCCCATTATAAACACTTATACTTGTCTTTCTTATACTAAGCGGATATATTTGTGAGACACTTATATTTTGGGGAGAACTGTGATTTTTTGGCAATTATTCACAGTTTTTATGATTAATCTGGCAACGCATAAAGCATCAGCTGATTTTGCATCGATGCCTTTTTCGTAAACTCTCGCATCGCTCAATTGAAATCTGAGTTCTGGCAACAGTGATCGGGGCGTTCAAAAACGAGAGAGATGTCTGCTGAGAGATGTCTGCTAGGGTAACTTTGGTTATCCTATCCACAACGCGATAAAGGAAAAAGGGCGATGAGCGCGGCGTTTGCGATATCGACTCAAGGTAAACATTCGTCATTCGCTTTCATGCTGCGCGGTTGTCCTGTAGTCGGCATTCTGCACGAATATCGGAATTCCGGTTTTGGAATTATGGTATCGCCGCGAATGTGCGGTGTAGGATCATTATTTTGCTCTCCACTTTTTAGTATGGAAGAAGAAAAGTAAGCATCGAACACTTCTACTGTACCATCTACTTATTTTGTATTTACAATAGGTGTAGGCGAGGTGAAAATTTTATTACTGTAATAAAGGCATACCGGTACCTGTAATACTTCTTAAAATAAGATCCCATTAGCAGGATTGTTACAAATGTTTAGCCAATTTAGTGCTTCCGTGGTATAAGTTCTTAAATAACGTAGGCTATTCTTATACCATGTTTCTTACACACTGACACATGTAATTACATATTATATGATTGCAGCTTTTTGTCAGTTTTGCGTAGAATTATCAATTTCGGCTTTGTCAGTTTGTGGATATCAGTGAAACCAGCCCAATTATGCCAAAAGAAAACTCTGAAGTAGAAAGATTACAATTGTACACTGTTTTATATATTTTTGAATAAACATTGGAGTTCATGTAAACAGTAGAGTTAATGTAAACAGTATATATGTATACCAAGTGTATATTTTATAGTTGTACAGGTAATTTCTTTTTGCTCTCATTGCCTACAGGGGTTGTGACTCCTCTTCGGCCCATGGGCCGCGGCCTGTGGAGTCACCATTTCTACACCTCATTGCAAAACAATCCGCCCAAATTTTTGTATTCCTAATTTATCAATTATATTTTTAGCCATAACCACCTGCTTGATGATACAATGAATCACCCTGGCATGACATGCAGAATGGAAAATACGAGATCAAGATCGCATAAATGTTCATCATATAAAAACAATGTTAGCAGATCAACTTCACACAACTCTGATATCTCAACTTCTTCACCTATATCACATTGTAGTTCATGTACGACAGATAGCCTGGGAGACAGGGTAGTTGTTGCTAGACCGGGATTAGTAATTGTTCGAAACGGTGAGAATTCATTTTATTATCGTTTGTGCAGTGTGCATGAAATGTTCGTGATCAATAATTGATTAAGGATCAAAAGGATACAATTTATCGAATGCTAAATTTATTGTCTGATCCGCACCGGCTATTGTAATATCAATATCACTTTGTAAATCAATGAATATGTGGATATTCCTTCAGTCCTATTGCTAAAAACATTGGACTTAAGCTTTATTTATGATAGCATCTCAAGTTAAAAGTCTCTGATTCAAATCCCATGCCCACCACCTTACCCAGGGTTTAGGAAATTGGGTAGGCAGTGCTGAATATGAAAAATTCTAGTCCTTTCAGAACAGGGGTGTGCAACAGGCGGCCCACGGGTCATAACCCGGCCCGCCAAGACAATAAGTGCGACCCTTGTCAACACTCAGATATTTCCCCACTAATCATCAAATTCTAACCTGACAGTTTATGTTTAAAAAAGCGCATGCACGAGTTAAAGTTCATAATTTTTAAGTCTTTCTTCTTTTTGCCTTTATTACTGTAAGACTAAGCTATAGCCTTTTCCTGGTGAGAATTTTTTAATTCATTGTGTACCCGAAAGAAATTGAATTTTTTGAATGGCCCGGCTAGATCTCAAGTTGTTTATATGGCCCGCCGACAAAAAATACTGCACACTCCTGTTTTAGAATAAGGTACCTACTTCATAGCAGTATGTATAGAGCCTTGTTCAGAGTAGCCATATAAAATCGTCTTATGAAAATTATTATGTGGCCGAAGTAAGCTTGCCAGATTTGGGCATCGGGCTATATTTTATTCTTTATTGAAACTTGACCTTTATTGAATGAATTACTGGTTACTGGTAGACATATGCATTTGTATCATAATCCTTAATAATATGTTTTTGTTTGTGAGTTGTGACAAATCAAAATTTTTCAAATTGAACCTGATACCTATTATTTGATATTGTATTGATTATGATTATGTTCTAATATGATTACAAGACTGAATGTAATATAAACCAGCCATCTATTGTGACATGATCTATGGCCAACCATAATTTTGAAAATTTTTAAATTGTTATTGTTGTTTCTGTTTAGATTTGATGTTTTGATATATTCTATATATTGTCAATTTCAGCACAGTTTTTGTACTTGCATGAATTGTGAACTTGGTGCTTTGCAACTGTTACATCTGGGAAATTGGTAAGTAGTATATAAGTAAGAAGTATATCCAGAATTTGAACTAGATTTTTGCCATTATATAGTTTGAAGTGCAATATTTTCAACATTCAACGTTTATTAAGAAAATAGAATAAATTTTAATATAGGATTTAGCTACATCTGATTTATTTAAGAATTTAATCAATTTTAGCTTTTTGTACATGCATATGATATATCATATGTACTTAAATGGTGATTTAACTGAGGCTATTGAAAGGATAGGTTGTGTTATGCATTTATCACTAACCTTTATAAGAATATCATAATGAAAATTATATTAGTCTTTTATGGATTTACACTCAGTCCTATGAATTTCAACTTAACATATATAAAGGTACTTTAATCACCATGTTATGTCTTACTATATATGCATTTGTTTTTTTGTTGTTTATTTAATGTTGTTGCATTGTAAAAAAGCTGTTTTATAAACCATGTTTGTGGAATTATATATCACTTGGTATACTAAGAATTTTCTGTTGTGTCAGTAATGCTGTATTTGCTAGATTGGAATGTTTTTCACTGGAGAATTATGATTATTATCACTTTTAAACTGGTAGGCCTACCTACCCAATATATAATCTTAAGATGATCTGGACATACTCATTTTCTCGAGTCCATAAAAGTTATTATTGATTTATCAAAAGTACCGGAGTGTTGAATCAATTATTTAAATTGCGAGACATACACCATGCTTCAGTTAATTGATCAGCTTACTGATTCATGCTACTATATTTAGATTTTGCTTAGAGTTAGGCCTAAATTAAAATAAAGGTATAGAAAGTAGGACAGCCAATTAAAAATTATCAAAGTCTTATCAAATGTAGCAAATGTCATTTCATTGCTATTTACATATTAAATTCCTTTAAAACCTCATTTTTCGTTGCATTAATTTTTTTCTCTTCTAATTTTCAGCTGAAAGCATGTCAATTGATTCTGTGCCTGCCAGCGATTCATCTGTTATGTTATTTTATCCTGGCTGCTCAGTGCTTTCTTGTATCAAAGATAAAGTGACCTTTAGTTTCTCTTCACTACACAAATGCAACTCTCCACTCGTAAGGTAAAAAAGGGAATTTTTTATATTATGTCCATAGAACTTGTTCCACACTTGAGAAATGAAACTCTGTGAAATTTTATGTGACCAAGGTGTTACTAATTTAAGCGAGCATTTTATAAAGTCTGAAAAATCTTGTAGAATAACCGTGTCCGTGACGCAATTTGATGTTATATTTTTAAGCTCAGATGTCATAACATAGACTCTAGTTTGATAATAATGTCAAATAGTGCAATAAGTTTGAATGGCCATTCGAAGCATCTGCTGCTGAACATACTCTATTTTCTCTCGATCATCGCAGTCCCCTACTGTAGGATGTTGGTAATACCACTGCCATAGTAGTAATAGTAACACATTTACACATAAAATCAGGACATTGAATCTATATAAAATGGTTATAGTATTGTGACAAAATGTATTTGTATGAACATTTGAAACATTGACAAAATTATTAGTATTTATATGTTGTGTATGGTTTACTATGGATGGGCCTGGTGGTGACCACTTTCTCTATACGAATCTGGTGATAGTTAGGGTTGTTAAGGTCATATTTAATATAACTTTATTGAAGATGAATTTATACTGCAAAACTTGTGGTATTTGAGAAAGGGTTTTATGCTAAATACAGGTTGACTTACCGTATTATCAGCGTTGATTATCATCGATTTTATCATTACACCAATCAACGATTTTAAGATACGGTACTACTATTTCCCATCTTTTTTTCTGGAGACATTGTTTTATTTCACTTTTGTGTTTGTTTATCTTATTCCATGTATACATAAATTGAAGATGGCTATTTCATTTGAATACATAACCACTATAATAGTGAAGTTTAGTTTCAGTCACTACATGTTTCTGGTTTATCTTGAGTTTTAATAATGAATGATAATCTTGCGATTCGGTGAACTGACGTCCAGTGCGTTACAAAGTTTGTGATACGAGTTTGCGAGTCGGGGAGATTGTGGTCGGGTATTGTGCAGTTTATAAAATATTAATAATTTTTGTGTCTCATAGATTGGAGATGGGCATGTATCATTGTGGCTCACAAAGTTCATGGCCCAATTACTTTTTAAAATTGAATTTATGTTCTTTTGATTATTTAATTTTGGGAGAAACGTACGCTTGTTAGATCAAGCCTTTTAAATATTTTGTGTAAAGATTCATCTGCATATCACTGTGGCTAATTTCTTGGGTTGGGACCTTCCGGCACCTCAGCTCTTGCAGTATCATTTTTATAAAGAAGCATCTTGCAATTCAACATATCCTGACTGTAGATTTTTATCTTTTTTCATTTGTTATGAACTGAGTGTCGGAAATACATTCCTGTCAAATATGTGTGACTGAAATAGTCTTGAATTAAATGTTATATTAGTCAATCCATCGGTGGCTGAAGTAAATTGAAGGAGAAACGGCTATTTTTACAGATGTATTGATTAGTGTTAGTTTCTCCCTTTTTTATGACGCAAGCTGGTATTACTTATTGCAATGTAAAAAATATTTTTGGGAAAATGCCTTTTCAAACCAAAGTATTGTATTCTTGCTCTACACACATTTGAATCGTTTTTCAGGTTTATGCTTTGCCGTATAAAATGTATTGACATTGATAAAATGGTGCGATATGTTCGTCTCTATCAGTGATCTTCAACTTTTTTTGGTTTGCTAAAAACTTTTGATATTTTAATTTGCTTGCGGAACACCAAATAAAAATTCAAATTTTTCGAAAATATTAATCATGGTAACTAATAATTATCTCAATTCCTGTGTTGATCTTTGGAGAGCAAATTTCCACTGCTGTCAAGTTTTAATGGTTGAATAGAAATAAAACCTCAAAACGAGATTCAGGGATTTTAGAGTCCATGATTTAGAATCTTATCACCAAACAACCACACTTTTTGAAAATCAATGATCCTTATATATTGTAATTCCTTTTATTTTTTTTCAGACAATTATTGAAGTTAAATGGAGTGGAACAAGTGACCTTAGCATCCGATCATATACAAGTCAAGGTAAGAAAAATGGTGACTAATTGCTTTATAGTTAGTTAATTAAGGAAGGCAAAAAATGACCCCTAAAACTTTGGTCACATGATTTTGATATTATTTATAGTATTCAAATACTTGAATGCATAACTTTTTTCTATGAGATGTAGAATATATTTTGGGCATGTGACAATATGCTTTGGTTTATTCACATAACTTCAATTTCAATTGTCAGTCTTGTATATTCTGTTTTTGACAAAAGTTGATATGTGGAATATTATTTTTGTATTTTTTTAATGCAATTGTATCTTGGTATTGGTTGGATATGTTTTGTTGATGGCTCAACCTAAAATACTTGTGAAAATGTGCAAAAACAGTTACATCAATCAAGTCTGCTTGTTTTCTTAATATGGGCTAGATATTCTTCTTGGTTTAAAGTTTGTTTTTCATTTATATTTGTGCCTTATAATGCATGCATCTATAATAAGAGACAACCGAGACTTATTATTCTATGGGTCAATCAGGACAAATAATTATATGCTTAGTGCAGATCTCAGTCTCATGGGAATTTTACCGGTGTCTGTGAAAGCATAAAAATAATATATATTGACAGGTTGTGTCTGACTTCTTCAATATGAATCTTTGAAAATAAAAATAGCTTCATAATTTTTATATTCCATTGTTAGTAAACTGTATATTAGAAGTAAAATACTATTCATTGACTGAACTGCAACATTTTTCTCAGAAGGATTTATTTGCAAGCATGTTATTTTATTCAAATCATTCAGGGATAACTTGTAAGTAAGTCGGTACACTAATTCGGACAAAAAAATTCCTGGTTATTTCAATTACAATGCCCTTGTACTTTCATAGAACCTGGTGGAGCAAAATTTTCCTTCATGGAAAAAAGGTTCTAAGAAAAAGGGTGAATTTTGACATTATGAAAAAATTGCGAAGAAAAGTATTTTTGAGGGAGGAGATCAAAAATAAAAAATATATCTTTTCTTCATTTTCTCAAAACCGTTTTTTTTTTTTCAAGTTTTGTCATTTTGGATTGAAGCTTAGATACGCTTTGAATTGGTAATATAGTTTTTCTAAATACATGTTTTGTTACTGACGTATCCTTTTCATATCTGAATACATCAAAATTTGACCTAAATCAGAATTCCTGTGCAAAGCTGTCGAACTTTTTGGGAAACATTATATTGACTATTTAAAAATATTAAAATATGGTTCTATTACCTGCTTCACCCATTATAAGTCAGGGATAAGGGTCTTATGGCTATGGATTCTGATACACAGCATTTCTCTGTATCTAAAATTAATTAAAAATTTTCCTAATGAATTTATGCAAATGATACTACTCAGCCATATCCATTAAGCAATCCATATTAAAGCATAAAAGTCTTTATTTGACCCATTAGCCATTAAATATCCTGCCTTCAAGTCTGAGATGGAATGTTCCTAATTTCTTTACCTTCTGGCATCAATTATTTATCTTTGGAAAGTTTGATGAATAACGCGTCACTTACAGTACTAGATATTTATCACTTTTTGTTAAAATCGAGCGTGAACTATTTATAGAGCAAGGTATGTTATCTCATTTTATCATGAGGATATGTTTGGCCTGCTCTAATATATAAATTGAAATTGAATTAACCATTTATATATTTGGGTGTGATTGCATCATCGGTTTAAGCAAAATAATTCGATTAACGCCCAAAGACAATGCTATCTCATTTTCAATTCAAAAGCATTATTGGATAAAATGGTTGAATCTGCAACCACTAATACACATTCAATTCCAATCGTGTTCCATTTGTACCAAGTATTTTAAAGAAAATTTCGTCTATGACAATGGTTTTCAAACAGTGGGGTGCGTAGACAATTTTTTTGAGGGGAAGGTGTGAAGCTAATTAAAAGTAAAAATATTTGTCGAATTTAATCTTACTCACCTTATTTATTTTCAAAACTTTTCATTTATTTCATTATTTACGTTCCATGTATTTTCAATGTGTTTTTTGAATGAAACATACTTTTGCCTAACTATCTGTTATTTGTAGCTTATTGCTAGCTACCGTAGTTAATTTTGAAGGTGGGGCACAAGGCTTGAATTGTTTGAGAACCACTGGTCTATGGTATTGCAATGTTGGACTTTGGGCCAGTTTTTATCAATTGGGATCTAATAGTCCTATCAGTTTGCATAACTGTGTATATATCACATTTTACCTATATAAATATTTCAAACAACATGCAATTAGTTTCGAAGTTTTATTGTGGCCACGGATCCAATGAACATTTTTATGTTATACTCCATTCTCTATATTTGTCTAGCCTTTTAGGGGACTCTAGTACACTATGAAATATGGAGAAGTGTCTTCTGGATAGTGAATAACACCTTATTAATAAACGAATCTTAAATTTTATTCCAAAATGTTTTTCAGGATAATGAATGTTTCTCTGTGATTTTCCTGAAGAAATATGAAATGACTTTATTAATTAATTAAGCACTTCATTGAAGATTGTCAATATACCGTGGTCATAAAATCTAATGGAAAACACGCTTCATTAATGAAATTAGCTTTCGAAATCATGTTTGTTTTATTTAATTAATTAGTGAAAATTGTTATATGCCATTAATTTATTTCATAATAATGGAAAAGTTTTGAACCATTAAAAAAATTTAAGTTTGGGTTATAGCTGAATATTTTGGAATAAAAATTAATCATGTATATGGATTTTTAGTGGTACCTAGAAAACTATTATCATATCATCAATTCTTTGAATTTGAGGTCACAACTGTATGGTGTCACTGGTAAAACTACTATTGTGAAGGTCGTAACAGTGGTGTATGACAGGTTTTATTGTGATGTGTCTTTGCTCTCCACATTAATAATTCATTAGAGGCGTTCTTATCCAGACTTAAGTTATGCGTTCACTAAATCCCTAGTGGCACCTATCTGGAGGTACAATTATTTTTGCTCATTGAAACTATTTTCTGTAAACTTTTACGGTTTAAAGATCAAAATGTGATCTAACATTTACCTCCTTATAATAATCAAAATTGTCAGAGAAGATCGAATTGATTATGGAACATTGCAATTGATGACTTTTAAAAAAAGGGTTTTATTCTCGACTATGTATGTTTGAATACCATAAATGTTAAGGAATTTTATTGCTTTCGTAACTTCTTGTTACACTGCTATAAATGAATGAGATACACTTAAATGTATTGATATGAAGCTCATAGTTAGGAAATTTCAGTCGCCAAACGTGGTTTTCTGTGATCTCTCGTATACCTATCAGCCAAGAAAGTTTATTCTTAGCAATTCAGTTGTATGAAGTTCACATCTCATAGCTGTTTTGCTGATCGTATTGACACTAACCATTTTTTAGGCTCGCATTAATCGATAGCTCTTCAGTGGGCGCCCAAAACTTCACTCAGAGATCAATACCCCCTATTTCTGAGTGAGTCCACTAAACCTTGCTTTGAGAGAATTCCTTATGAAAAGAATTCAAACGCCTTTTAGTAACCATGACAGTCAAGGTAAATTTATAATATTGTGAGGTTCTCGGATCTCGGTGCTCGAAACTTCACTCAGATATCAATACCCCATATTTCTGAGTGGGTCCACTAAACCTTGCTTTGAGAGAATTCCTTATGAAAAAAATTCAAACGCCTTTTAGTAACCATGACAGTCGAAGTAAATTTATAATAATGTTACGTTCTCAGCGCCTGAAACTTCACTCAGATTTCAATATCCCATATTCCTAAGTGAGTGCACTAGCCCTTGCTTTGAAAAAATTTGCGTATAAAAATATTCAAAAGCCCTTTAGTAACCATGACAGTCAAAGTGAATTTATAATAATGTTACGTTCTCAGCACCTGAAACTTCACTCAGATTTCAATATCCCATATTCCTAAGTGAGTGCACTGGCCCTTGCTTTGAGAAAATTTGCGTATAAAAATATTCAAAAGCCCTTTAGTAACCATGACAGTCAAGGTAAATTTACTATAATGTTAGGTTCTCGGTATTCATAACATTGACCTAGGCTTTAAAAAAAATGACATATTTATGAAAAGTTTGCTTCAAGCAATTACTAAAACTATACAAATCTGTATGCATTTTTATGTATTGTTGAATACAGTAATTGGAGGGAAAAAATGGTTTTGGAAAATAGTTTTTTAGCTCTATGCACAAAATAATCTAAATATTGAAGCCAGTAGAAGATAATAAAATAAGATAATCATTACCGGTAATGATAATGCTTCATTCATTACTTGAAATATGTTGAATTTACTGCTATGATTGCTATGAAAATCCTATTTGCTTGATTCCAGGTCAAGCTTCTTATTGTTTAATCTTTATTGATTATCTCATCTGTGTGTATGAAATTATAGATCCTATATTTTTCCCTAGTCCAGCATAGTTCTGTAACTAATATAATAAGGAGTGCCACCAATGTACATATGTGTTAGAAGATATGGATTCAACAAGTACAATTGAGTCTATGCCTGATCTCTAGTGTATTATGCCTAAATATTTTTGATACCGCTCTCAATGTAATGTTAAAATTGGAAGTGGGGTTAGACGATTACTGGGCTTGCGATTAAAATTAATTGATCTGGATATTCCATCATAATATTAACTGAACAAATTTTTTATTGATTGTTTACCTATTTGCTTTTCAATTCGAAAATTGTACCCATCTCTTAGTTTTATATTAAACTTGAACATACTTCTGATTCGCATAGTGCCAAAAACTTTTTCGGAAATTTCTAATATATCTACAGATGGATAGTAGTTTGAATAGAGACTGTGAAAGTGATTTGAACTATTGATGTCAGCAAAATTGTCACATGGATAAAACTGGCTTGTAACAACCAAGTGTTCACTTCGACATTGCTTTTTGCAAGTTAAATTTCCTAGTGTAAGCTCAAATTTCATATCATGCACTAGGTAGTTAGTCAATGTGGAAATATTGAATGAACCAAAGAAAAGTTACTCAACATAAATATATACTGTTCTATCTTTTATACCATAAATGTTAATTATTAGCACTTACGCAAGATTCTTTATTTCAGAAAGTCTGTCATAAACACAAAGACAACACGAGTCAAAGGTTTTGTTCTGTTAGTTGGAGAAATTTAAAACCAGAAATTTTAGCAACTATGATAGAATTTTTTTCGAGTGGTATACCTGTACTAGAAGAAGAAAATATGAGTTGTGGTAAGTTTTGTGTAGATAGCACTTTCTTATTCCTACTTACTGCAAGTCATAAAATTGTTGCTGCCTATATGGGATCCTTATCATGCCTTGTTTACAGCACATTAGTGACATGTCAAAGTAATTAACTTTTATCTGTAACAAAAATCTTTGACACTTTTGATAGTATGACTGACAACCAATGTAATATTTATTAAAATCAGATGACTACAGGGTTACCACTAACTTTACAATGTCAGTCATACTTGAAGGAGATTTCATGAAATGTTTTTTATACAATGTATGCCTTTTGCTCCGAACAAGTCTCTACAAAAGCAGCCTACCGATATATATATTATAAGGAGCTACTTTATTTTGAAACGACCGGAATCTGTCCTGTTCAGCATTGTCTTCCCAATTTATTACACCCTGGGTGGGGTGGTATTCATGGATTTCGAACTACAATGCCATTATTCACATGTAAGCCTAACGCATTAACCACCAGGCCACTGCGCAATGGTAATTGATTCTGTGTAGTTCGGATATTTATTTTTATTTGAATATTATAAGCATAGTTTCATCAGCTTTACCGTGTTTCACTTTTGTTTTCAGATTCATTAATTTCTTTATGTGAAGAAGATTCAGGCCTTATTATTCAAGATTTAATTGAAAGTAGAATCAGGCCTATGGTGAAGCAAGAAGGCGGTGATGTTGCATTTGTCGTAAGTATTGATATTTTTTTCTAAAATTTACTCTACGATAATGATTTTTTGAGTGGGCCTAATCATCAAGTCATCTGTTCTATCACACACTCTAATACTGACCTGGGCGAACTGTGGCCCGCATGCCAAATCCGGTCTGTTGGGTGATTCAACCTGCCTGCCTGATGCTGCCGTAATCAAATTAAAACCAATTTTATGTTTTAGCTAAGAAATAGCGCAAGGAATTTGATTGCAATTAAATTTAGTTTTGGCATGAGAATTATTATCTCACTTTCGCTTTAAAACACTGTAAATATTGTTCATAAAATGTGACTTTTTATTTCATATTTACATAGCCTGCCTCGCTGCCTGTCTAGGAGGACAAAATTTTTGGCCTGTTGTCCATCCCTGCTCGAATATTTGTGTTGCTTTAGAGATCGATTATTATGCAAACTCAAATCTCTATTATTTGTCATAGTAGCTATCTAAAATATGATTTAAAGTTTTTTGTGCTGATCATTTTAATTAGAATTCCCTACTTTTTGTGTTGATATGGAATATTGAATTCCTGGCACATGATGTGCATTATAGCAATATTCAATACGATATTAAATTCAACAGTTTGCTCTGTCGCTTCTCACTTTTCTCGTTCAAAGGTTATGACCCATACCTAATTGATTTCCGTAACGGTGATTATTACATTGCTGGGTTTTATTGCATTATCGCACTAAACAATGTAACAAAGAACACATTACAAATTTTTTTATTGCATTTTACGGGTGGTCGCAATGCCTCTCCCATTGGGATATGAGTTAGTCACTGAAAATTTGTCCAAAATCCATTTTATCGCTCCATTCCCACAGGAATACAGGTCTGATCATTGCGTTGTTCTGACATTTTCTGGGACGTGCATATCTACGCGAGCTGCAACTAATGTTTTAAAAGATGTCATCCTTGGGCTTCTGCAATTTCATGTGCCAGATGTATCAGATATCATCGAGGTATTTATTACCTGCTAAATATTGCTAATTGAGAAAATATGGTATAAATTCTAAAGTTGAGTAAATAAATGTTTAATGGCAAATGTACATTGGCAATATAGCAGTTTATCGATCCACGTTAGCCTTTTTCTAGTTTTGCAGCTTTGATGTTCAAACAATATGGTATATTTTTTTTAAATATTTCCTTATGATAATTTGAAAAAAAGTTGTTTCGAGATGTTTTTTCTTTTTATCACAGTTAATGATATATTAATCAACTTCCAAAAATTTTTTTTGGTACTTGTTTCATTGCAAAATGTTAGAAAATCTGATACATGGAGCATAGAATGTTCAGCAGATAATTCTTTTTGAGTTAACTGCCCCCCAAACAATGATTTTGACTAGTTTGGCATGGTGACTTCCGACCCTCTGTACTATCGACGTGTTAAGCATCACTATACTGAAAGCAACAGATTGTTAGAATCATTTACACTGCTCTTTCAGAATTGAAAATTCACAGATCATTGATTTTTTATAATTTGTGCAACAAGTTTATTAAGAAAATTCATTGAAATACTTTGCGCTACACATTTACAAAATGTTAAGATCAATATTTTTTTTTCAGATAACTTCCACTCCCACATGATATTAGTTCCAAGGTTTGTCTTGCTTTTCGATATGAGTTGATAGTTCATTTACCGCGTTGCCAAAGAAAATGTGTTGGAGAGAACAAATGAAAATACTGGTTGCTTCTACAGCTGCCAATTTTACAGTTATATAAATGTTCAAGTTAAATATCACCTATAATTTTATTTACATATACTATCGCAATAAATAAACACATATATTTAAAACAATAGACTTCTTTTATTGGGAGTAAATGGTAAATGCAAGCAATTGGTTAGGAAAAACCAACTTGGCCTTGCTAATAATGTATAGAATGGAAAGGTTTTATTAGTGACTGCTATATCATATTAAGCTAGTAATGTGCTCATCAGGCCTGAATTGTACTAGTACCTCGTCATATATTACCACATACTTTTATGTGGAATCTTGTGCAGTTAATTAAGTTCAGAAAATTTTTTTCAATGGTTAGTCATACTTTGGTAAAAATTTAAATCTGCTTAAAATGTACTTAGTTTTTGGAGGAGAAATCTGTAAAATCCATTGCAACGTCTGCTAGTTTAGCTTCGTATACTTCTAAGCTTTTCTCGTCTGGTAGACAGGGTCCGAAAGCTTCCAATAGGAGTTCTTCTGCTACAACTGCTTGTTTGAAATCTGCGAATGAGAGACGACTGTCGTGATCAAAATCCATTTTCTTCAATGCTGTTTCAACTAAGTCTTTTACGCCTTCATCTGGATCTTCTTCGGTCGGTTGCTTTACTAAAGAATTTTTCAGCATTTGGAACATTTCTTCCCGCGATATGTAACTATCGCCATTAAGATCATACACTTTGAAAGTATAATCAATTTTTTCATCGAGTGTTCCTCTCATGAAAACAGATAAACCTTCAACCCATTCTTTTGTGTTGATGTAAGAGTCACTGTCTGTGTCAAATGCTCGAAAAACACGATCCATAAGTAGATCTTCTGTCATACTGAACCAAACTTGCAAAAAATCTCGAAATTGGTTTCGATCAAGTTTTTCGCCTTTGTTGTTGAAACCTTTGAACAACACAAGCAAGGCTTGGACTTCTCTTCTATTGAAGTGAAGTGTTGGTGCACCTTTGCAGATATCATCTGCATCTTTTTGTAGATTTTTTCTATTAAGTCCATTCATGATATACATTATGTCAAATACACAATATCTTAACTTTAAATTTCTACTTCATTTTCATACTAATGACTCTGTAAAAGAACAGGACATAGTCTCGTTTCAAAGTAAGATTTTTGACCTTTTCCTATCTTTCATTTTTTTTTACAAAAACTATCAGGAGCATGAAAGCTTTAGAATGGAAGTCAACGAAATTGCTGTAATATTGAAGCGGTGGTTGATTTTTGGTAGATCTATGATGATTATGAACAATAATTTTGATCATTTATACCTACTTAGGTCTAGAGTCACAGAACACTTGAACATATGTTGTTGGGAGACGGTAAGGAGGTATACAGATATTTCGCACTGCTGATTTTTCCAGCCACAAGATGGTTTGAGTTGTGATTTTTAGTCACCTTGTGAGTTGTTTTTAACAATACAAGTACATGTGGAATTGTAGGATAGTTGAGGCTGATACTATGGTAAACAAATATCAATGAATAAGTCAACATATACTTGTAGGCCTAGACTATATTATTATTTTTAAAAAACTCCCAATGCACTGAAAGTCAAAATCACAACTCCTTATGTGGTACCAATAGATTTTGTAATAAATAATTTGCCCAGTCATGATATACGTTGACTGGAAAAACATAAACACCAAAAAGGCGACTTTCACAATCCAGTTTTTAATGGAGCTTTCTTGTCAGGAGAACAGCTGCCAAAGTGCACGTTTCATAAGATAACTACAAAACAGGGGTGGACAACTGTGAAGGCGGTGCCAGTTATTGACTGTACTATTCAGATGGTAATTATAAAGCAGATTCTGAATTGCTATATGTTCAACAACATACAAAGCATTGGGCAGTTCCGCATGCGAGCAGATTATAGGTTAACGTTAACTGTTATGAAGATAATGTCAAGAACATCTCTATTGCTGACAGCCTCTAACACAGTTTTATCATTCTTTAATATAGTAGGTGATCACGAAATGTTAAACCAACAAATAGTAACAGCCATTCCATTGGCATTTTCGGAACAAAATATGTACAGACGTATAACGTAGTCGATAAACTTACTACACAGCAATGCTGGAAAGCAAGAACGCGGCGATGCTCGTATCCAAGGAAACCATGTAATCACTAGGTGGCACTCGTGAGATATTGAGAAAAAACTTGAGATGTAGATCAACCGTAAATATGATCAACCAACAAAAACAGTACAAGCTAAGCGTTAGTGTGCGATATCTTGGGGCACTAGGGTTGAAATATTTATTTCAAAACTATGAAAAAATACTTTTTCGGTTATTCAATATAAGTATCTTTATGTATAAGTACATCACATGGCCATAAGCAGAAATTCCTTGTTAGGGGGTTTTCATCGAAACTAATTTTACCAAAACTAAATGCAATGACCATTAATTTTTTTTATTGAAATCCATCCCATTTTTTCACATTTATTATAACAATGATTGTTATATCGTCGGTAGTCATTAGTAACTTTTGTATAAGCAAAATTTCAAATTTATGTAGGAGTTTTCATGACTTGTTCGGTCACGTTCGAAATTGACGTCCCTATTTCATTATATGCTACATTTATTCTATATTCATTCCTGATTTGGTTTTCTTTCTGAAGTCTTTGTTATTATTATTCACGTATTGCCCATGTGCTGATTATTTTGTCATGCAAACAACGACTAACATACCGTGTGCATACCATACCATATTTGGGGAAATAAAATCTCTCTCTCTCTGCAAATTTACCATTTTATTTCAAGCTATATTCTGACGTTCATGTTCTCACTCGTGGTGGCACTGCAGAGCAATTTACTCACAGTTTCGTTTTCGCTTGACGTTGTGCTGTTCTAGTTCCTTCGCTGTGTGCTAAAACTGTTATCTGGTTACACTGCTTGTTTCAGTATTCTTGAGCTTTGTCAGAGAAAAAACATTGTGTGAGGTGATGGAAGATTCTGAGAACGTGCCTGTGAAAAATTCAGAGGTAAGTTTGCTGTCTATCTAAGTTACCTAGGCTATATTTCTGTGTTTATAGACTACTGGTACTACAGTACTATAATTTCAGACTCTTTTAGTCTCAAAGTGTTCTATTCTTGTACGGTACCTTATTCAGTACTGCAATACGGTTAGTCAGCGGTCGAACTACAAAACTGAGCTTAGTTCAATAGATATCGGTTTTCATATTTTATTTATTCAAAAATCTTGTACGGTAATTGTCTACTTCTGTACTTTGTAATTTTGTTTTTTTGATAAATGAAAATAAAATCCATCCCCCAAAATAATCCCTAGTGTTAATATTTGAAAAAAAATTGGTATAAGACCTTGTCCTAAAATAACATGGTATGCTATTTATGAATTCATTCTTTTTAAGTACGAAGTACGATTGTTGTGATGTGTTTTTTCCAATTGTGTGAGTCTGGGTGAATAAGCACAAACAAACAAACAATAGGCTACAAATATTACTCTAGGTTTTGCCCATTTTCACGATCTTTCCGTCTTCATTGTCTGTGTTCTTTATTTATTTTTTTATTTGTATTCTGTGTTGTAGACGAAAGATTGAAATAAAACTATAAATAACTTAAATAACGAGTTGCACATTTAATAACCTAATATGTTCCCAGTTCAGAATGGCACATTTGTATTTATATGTGACAAAGAAACCCTTTAATTCAACTGTCACTGTTAATTTTGTTTGTACTGATGTATATCTCACTTGACTATAACTTAAGGTCAAGATGGAGAATATTGGACAAGGACATCAATTTACAGATGATGAATTGCTTAACATGAGTGTGAGAGATCTTAACAGAAGTTTACGAAACCTGACACCAGAGGTAGTATAAAATTATACTTCATTATAGCAAAACAGATTTTAAAAAGAGAAACGTATGGACAAAAATACAGCAAGTAGACCTGTTATGTTAGGAAAATATATAAAGAATAGAAATTTAGTAGTTTCTATACCAGTGTTTCTCAAACTGTGTGCCGCACACTAGTGTGCCGTGAGAGATTCTCAAGTGTGCCGCGGAGCTTTTTGGAATTCTAGAAAATAAGCTGTTTGTATTACACATAGACATGCACGCAACTTATGAGATTTGATAATCCATAATTAATTAGACTGATAATATTATTGCATTTGCCTTGTCTTGTAGTAAGGGGTATTGTTCTAGTATACTTGCGTTGTGATGTGATAATGTTTTTTGTAAAAATGATATCCACCTTCCACTATGTTCACTTGAGCGTTGAGTTAGGCCAGTGGTCGGCAAGATTTGTGTACCTGCGGGCCGAATATACACATTTCCCGTTCAAATGACGATCTGTCAAGCGAGTACGAAGTTTGCAGACCCCTGAGTTAGGCTAACAGGAAAGCCAGTTTGGTTGAGTTTTGGCTATCTGCTAACAAATTCTATTCAATCATCGGTGCAAAAGCCATCAAAATAATCTATCCATTTGCATCTACATGGCTCTATTAATCCGTATTTTCTGCTCTGACTGTAATCAAAAGCAAAAAAGGGAGCGACGGACCCTCGTTTCTCAAAACAGGCACACACATCGCATTAACATTTGTAGAATAATTTGCCCAAGTCTAGCTCAAATTTTTCACAAGTGTGCCGCGAGATTTTTCTTATTTGCTTGGTGTGCCGCGAGCAAAAAAAGTTTGAGAACCACTGTTCTATACGTTCAATATTCATTATAAAGCACTGTATATAATAAACAGCTTACCACAAGGCTTACTCTTGTAACTGTATATGCTGCGTATTGGACAATAGCCTATCACTCCGAATATTGCTGATCTTGATAGACTTCAATGATCAATTTTTTTTAGAACATAGATTATAAAAAATTTGTGGACCCAACTGTTTATTTATCAGTCATCTACATTTCATATTGGAAATTTTGAAGGTTTGCTTCTGATGTGGAAACTTGGTCCAACTTAATGTTTAGGAATGTGTTACCTGAAGTAGGGCAGTGTCAGTGATATGCTAAATGGATTTCTTATGATGCAAATTGAAAATATATATCAAAATATTTTTTCATAGGAAAGTAGGAGATTAAAACAGAGAAGGCGAACATTGAAGAATCGTGGTTATGCAGCATCATGCCGTATCAAACGATTAACACAGAAAGATGAACTGGATTTACAAAGACAGAAGCTGCAAAAAGAGGTTGGCGCGAATAATGATTATCCAGATTAATATATATATATAACTTAAATGTCAAAATATATTGAATATTCAACCACCGGTACTACTTTACTGTATCAATAGTAAATTTTGCAGAAAAAACGTCAATTTGACTCGATTTGCAAGTACCATTATATCGGATTTGGTTTAAATTGAGTTTTTCAGACACTCTTGTGTAATATGCAATCAGCAACTACCAAACTGTATTATAATAGATGATATTTGTCGCATAATTCAAATGGAGCATTTCATACAAACAGGTTGAAATGATAGCTGAGGAAAATCAAAAGATGAATATGGAATTAAGATCATTACAAAAGAAATATGAAGATCTTGAAACATTTGCTAAAAGCATGGCAAAGAATAATAATTCCGAGGTAATTCCGAGGTTTAGACTGAAATGAGCTCCCTCTAGCTATACTGTATATTCTCTCATGATTATCCATTTTCATTGTGTATTTTCAAACCCAACTCACTGTACAATGAAATCATGAAGGTTGATATATAAAATGTAGGAAAGTTAACCATAAGATCATTTAACTAGTTGTACATTACTTTGGTTAGTTGTAATCTATCTACAGTCATACTTGTAAATTTTGACTAATTATTACATTTACTCAAATGCAAATGTGATATATGTACAGCATTTTGTAATGCTGGTTTAGTAATAGAAAACTTTCGACTCTCACCTTTACCTCTTATGTTATGTGCAAGTAAATGTTTCTGATTTTATCACCAGTCACCGGAAACACTAGAAGATGAAGAAGAATTTTCCTCAACGCAAGTTACAACTATTTTGAACAAGACAGAAACATGATCGCTCGCAACATGAGATTTAAAACTGTTATCTCTAGTGAAATTAAACTATCCTGAGTCGAAAAAACGGGTCGTTAGCTTATGCTTGACAAAGTGCTATAACATTGTTCACTCTGTTTGGACTAATGCGCTTTACTCAATCATTATTTTCAAACATTTTCTGCACTTATCAATATCATATCGTCTTCTTTTTAGATTGCTATTATCAATTTTGTGGCAAACTTGATCTGTTGTAAATGACTTCTGCTATTAGTTACTTGGTTTTTAATGATCTATACATGTATTTGGTATTGACGAGGATGCTTGAATAGGTAGACTTTTTTTGTAGTAAAAGCTTCATGAATAAGATGAGCTCACCATGTCAGGCATTATGTAGTACAAATAAATTACCATGTGTGAAATCAGATACTGTTTGTTCATATGAAATTTGCGTTATGAATACCTTCAAGCGTTCTGAGTTGTGGAAATATTGTTACTTCTGCCTGTGTTCTCATGCTAATAAATTTTTGATTTCCTATATTATGAGTACCGTATATATTAGTGTTGACTATATTTCAAATTTTTTTTTTTATATCATCTCGTGCATTATACGTACACATAAGTATGGTTAGGTACATCATGGAGGTTACATAACTTGATATTTGTTCTCCTCACTCATTTCGGTTACCTAAATTGGTATTTGTCTTCCTACATCATTTCTCATATGCTTTCTCATATGCTGGACAGTTGAAATATCAAGTGGAGTATACAAATATAGATTACACAATATGGAAAAAGTATGGGTATTTGGTCCTGGCATTCAACACATTTGTATTTGATCTTCTTTGCCATCCCTTTGCAGGAATGTAGAGAACAGAATCACATTGGTGTGCCGAGTTGAGTGGTTTAGACTTTAGATGGTCCCGCCAAATGTGTAAAACTGCTGTGATGATACTTCTCCATATCTCCAAATTTTGATTTTGCTTCATTTTCATTTACGTTGAAATGTTTATTTGCTTTTTGAACTTGTCCTTGTCAATAAATAAAGAGTAAATTCCTCTGCTGCCTTTTTTTACGCCACATTTGCTTGTGCTCGCTATAATCCGATGTTGGATAGAAAGTGTACATTTGGATCGTTTTGCTCAATTGGTTTTATGGAAAATATTCCTTCTCCGCAGCTAATAAACCAATCAATTTTGAAGTTTCAGGAGCTAGGTTTTTTTTTCAGAGAACACTTTTCGGCGCTCCCGAAGAATGTGCACCAAGATGGCGCACAACCTGAACCCTAACCTGGTACACATACTATGTTCAGGTTGTGCGCCATCTAGGTGCGTGTACTTCTGGAGGTCCCACTTCTTTGCAACTTACAGCCCAATTAATTTCAAATTTTCAATACTTATAAATAGTAGAAGTCGCCAGTGGTAATATAATTAATGTCTTCGTATTCGGGTCCTATGCGGCTTAAATTTATCTTAAAATTATGCTGTTTTATTTCCACCCATGGGAACACATTTATTATATGACTTATTAGGACATTTGACTTCGCCGTTGTTGCTCTCATGTTTGTCTTGGGTTCTATTTATCCAAAGTCTGTAAACAGTTCTGAAATGTATTTACATTCCCAGATCTAAATGGAGAGTAAGACTTGTATTGTAATTATTATCTTACTGGGAATGCATCGTTCCACATGAATGTTCAAAGCTTACTCTGATGATCGTTTGTCTTTAGACTCTAAAGTTTCGTACCTATCTCGTATCGAACCAAACAGTGTGCATCAATTCATGGGACATTATTGCTTTGTTATTTATCATTATCTCGTATATACAAGGCTGGGGATTTTCGAATACCTGAAGATTCTTGGTCGAATATTTTTCTCGGATATACGGAAGATAACTAAATTAATACAACGGCATGATTGTATGCGATTTATTTGTAAATGGGCCATTCAGACATAATTTACTGAAGACTGACATAAATTACTGAAAGCATAGAATCCATCACTCAGTTAGTTCGATGTGTTGTCACACACGATAAAAACATGTTTCATCACTCCCACACTAGAAAGAAGGAGGTAATATGGGAAAATTGCATTTTAAAATACAAGATCCTCCGCAAATGATCCAGTGAAGCTTGATCTAAGCTCGATGGCAGTGTTTCCAGCCGCAGAAAATAATCGCTCACTTAAGGTTGATGTTGCTGTCAAACACATATATCATGATTCATGACCAACAAGTTCGCATAATCCAGGGTCGTCCAACCCGTGGCCCGCGGAAGCATTTCGAGTGGCCCGCGCTGTATTTTTCAGAATTGGATAAATAAATTGGAGTAAAACTATTTTTCGAGTGATGTAGTATACAAATATAATATGATACAAAAGATTTGTTTATTTTCCTGAAATGCGCTCTGCCAGCCATTTCGAACGAACCATTAGTGCCATTTTTAATCGAAACCAATTGGGAGGAGATATGTATAAATAAAGGTGCCATAGCCGCTTACACACTTGGTATTTTACTACTCTATATTACGTTATCGCAAAACAATCGAAGCCATTCTCAGATTGAGAATTCGTTAAAAACTGTTTTACGTCCGGAAATAGAAGAGGTGTTTGCAAAAATAGCCTGTCAAGACCACAAGACAGGTCATACCTCTTCTTGTCGAAGAGCTTGATAACTCTACAGCGGAAACTTTAATTGCAAAGGCGAACAAATTTTCATCGTATTTCTTGATGCCTGACAAAAGCATTGGCTTGGCTTTGGCGAAACTTTGACGGCCCATCAATGGTTGGGAAACAACAGTTTTTATTTCATTGGTATAATAATTGTGAAAGTTTGGTGTGCGGGTAATGTTTATTTTTCCATTAACTAGAACAAAATGCCATATTGAGTGGCCCGCGCAGTTATTAGTAAACTACATGTGGCCCTTCGGCCAAAAAGGTTGGACGACCCTGGCATAATCAGTCTTTGCTCTTTCCAACAAGTAAGGGTGCTTAATCTTATACATTCAGAAAGTACCGGTACTTTAAAATTGAATAATTTATTCACTTCATCGCGTTGCAACCTCGGTATCTGCACTGCTATTGCACTGGTGAATCGAAGGCAAGGTTTATGAAGTTGAAGGTTCAGCTTACATACAGAAACAGTTGCTTCAGATAATACAGTCAGCTCAGAATTAAAATAAAACTATTTACTATTCGATCTGAAATCCCTAGTCCTAGTTGAGAGTCACTGAACGACATTAGAACAGCTGTGAACGTTCGTCTTGTGCCGTCTTTATCGATGTTATCCATTCGGCGACGGAAGTTCGCCCTGCTATAAAATTTGTAAACTGCGTTTTGTTGATACCGTCAAAATGCGTTTGTTGCCATTTGGTCGATCTGAGCTTCAACGAAGCATTCTGACGAAAACGAGTCAGATTTTAATATTGACCACTTTGTATACAAATCAGCTACCGCTAGGTGGTAAACGAGTGAAGATTTTTTAGTGTAATTGCGGCTTTACATTTAAAATTCTACGAAGATTATTTTAAAATGTGTCGATTAAACGATAGAATGACACGATTTTCCTCAGAATTGAATTATTTATCACACAAAAATACGTGATATATATACTTTTTTGTATTAATATGTGTACAAAATGTAACCATTTGTGAATCATCTCACATTTCAGTCAATGATTCTAAACATGCAACATTTGATTCTATCTTCGTGGTAACTCGAAACCATCAACTACTTTAGCGTATATCATCGAGCTAAAAATATTATAAAATGACTTATTAATTGCTCGAACATAGTTATTAAACCAAGCACTTTTTCTATATAACTAATATTTCGTAACTAATATATTTTACTAATATTTCGTCCACTTTGGACAGTAATTCTAAGACATGATACATAGTGCTATAGTGGTTATTCTATTTGGTTCTTTTCAGATTTCAAGAACTACTTACACCCACTAGGTTTGTTGGTGTAGCTACGTCATGAAACAAAAAGGATGGGAATCACTAGTCGAAAATTTTGTAGCACGTTCAGACCTACTTGTCAGGGTGGCATTGTCATTTTGTGCTGATGAAAGTCTGTAGCACACGAAAATTACGATATTTGACTATGAACTTTCAAATCAAATCGGTGATTTTGTGAATGAGATGAATTCCTATTATAGTTTTATCGTATGGGAAGTGTGTGAATTATGGCGTGTGAAGTTTTCTGTATCCGAGATAAGTGTTCGTGTCTGTCTTGAGTATCTCTTACTACATCAAGAGCCCGTCACTGTTTCAACAAAGGGGGTAGTCGAGTAGAAATGAGTCGTCGATAGGGGCAGTATACGACACAATTTTTTTTAATTTTTTTTTTGTATATTATCGCTTTTTTGCCGAAATCTCCAAACTTTATTTATCAGCGGTGATTTCCTCAGATACATATTTTGAATAGGTACTTTAATTTACTCACACACGATTTGTGAATCATCTCTTACGAATGTTCAAGCAAAACAAATATTTAGTTGTTTGCTTTTATCGGTTGGGATAATTTTTCATATCAACCCCGATACTTTTTATACTGACTACCATTTTATGCACACTATGGCTACTCACGGACCAGCCGTTTAGGGATTTCGCTTGTTTTGAAATCCTAATTTATATTCCGTTATATTCTGAACTTTTTATCAACTTTTCTCATTGTTCATTCTGGACTGGAGTTTTTAATCCCTACAGAGACATTGGTGAAGTGAATCGTTAATGCCGAGTTTTGTGGCCTATGTCTTCCATCTTGTAATCTTTCTCAATACCGATGATTTAATCGCCATTATCACAACCGACACGCATAGTGTTGATATTATGAAGATAATGAAGTGAGCACGAAGATTAGAAATTTGTCACGTACATTGTTTGAGGTTTTTTTGACGGGAGAAAGTTTTCCTTTTTGTATTATGTTGTTTTTCTCCACTTTGTTGGTCTTTAGCTTAAAAAACTAACTAGAAACTTTGAACTATTAACTTGTAAAACGGCTGAAACGCGCCTTTCGCGGCGTCTTTCCGCCAGATTAATATGTGCTGGTTGTAATATTGACAAAAGTCGCCAGACGCGTTGCGGTGCTGTTTTATGTCAAAGACGCCCATGGTGTTATGTCGATTGACACATGACATTCATGTACTAGTATCTCAAATTATTAAACGATGTATTAAGCATAAGCCAAAGATGGATAGCCCCATAAAGTCATGATTCGGAGGTGTGACAATGTAGTTTCCGCGCAGTTTGAAACTGGGTATTTTGTTTTCCTATACTAAAGTGATGATTAGGTCTCAGCCAACGATCTTTCTGAATTGAGGGAATAATATAATTCACGTCGTACTTCGACTTAGATTAACCGCGCTTTCGTCGAGTGACGTAACTCTCACTTGCAATATTTACGCTCGATGCTCGCTTTCAGCCGACTGATTCGCGTGTGTATGCCGTGCGTAGAGTAGCTTTTTGGCTAACTCTCTGAACCTGGAATATAGCTATTCTAATATTAGGAGAATCAACATTTTATCGGAGTAACTTGATCATCAAACATCATGCGACCAATCTCCGTGGGATATATTTGTACTGTTGTTATTTTGATGACTTATTTTGTTGGAATACAAGCATCTTCAGAAGAAATTGATCGATCGAGAACAAGACACTTTGAACACGCTCATCGAACTTGCAACAAAAAATTTTGTGTCTCTGTAGTAAGCTATTGTACTCTGCAAGATAAATGTTATTGCAATCCAAAAGTAAATTGTTCTTGTTGCCGGGAATGTGCGATATGTATGGGAAAGTTCTACGAACATTGTTGTGATTGCGTAGGTAAGCAATAATTTTATACAGTCGATAAGTAAATTGTCTTAGTTTAACAGGGATACGCCAAAGGACTAAAAATTGAAGCGAAACGGATGACGAAAAACAAAATATGTACTCAATGCGTATTTTGAAAATATATAGATGTACATTTGGGCTTATCAGCATCCTATCTATATCAACATGAATTTTTACCCAATCATGCCAATACCAGCATGTTGTCCCACATTGGGAAGTTCAATTTCGAACCGAATATTTCTCAGCATGTCAAATGTGAATTATATTAGTCATTTACATATTTTCACGGGTTAATTATGATCTTAAAAATTCATTGTTTGTTGGGATACCAAAATTTAAGAAATGATGTTTAATATCTCAAATTGTTGTGTACGGGTCACTAGACGATACCGCAAGATCGTGATATTTACTTCAAGGCTAATCTCGGCGGAAGCCTTTTTAAGCCGCGAAATGCGTGAAGGGAGTGGTGTGCATGTTCACAGATTTGTACCTTTTCATGCTGATTTATTCGACTTTTAGAACCCTACTTTTAAATTAATTTTGAAACCGGTGCAGGAGGGTAGTTATGGTATGGGATGTGTAAAATTTTGTTACAACATTTCGTCGTAATCAGAATCCTATCATTACATTGATCATTTTAATAAATAACAATTTGAATGTTAAATGCTTTTTCATTATATTCCATATCTAAAAAAATGCTTATTTGGCGAAATGAAACATCGAAAATATCCATCATCCATAGAAGTAGACGTTTGGCTTTGTTATTTATGAGTAAATGTAGACGAATTTGTCACTTCACTCGTTTCAATGGTGGGACCAAGGTTAATCATAGCTTTTATCCCGTCAGTTGTTACATACTACATATAGTGTGCATTTAGCCATCAATTAACTCTACTAAGTAGTCATTATTGGATTTGATATTTTGGTGCGGGGAATGTTTGGTATTATCAATACTATCCCGGCTTTGTAACGACTGCTCACTTGCGCAGGTGCATTATCTCGGTTGGCATCGGTTACTCTACCTAAAGCCGCAAATTATTCTTGTTGAGCCTTGAGCATGCGACCCCTTTCTATTTAGTACCCTACAGGAAATCCGATCGACCGTTGCGGAGTTGAGTTTCATAAACCGGGTGGTCAAGCCGCAAGTTGTCTTTTTTAAGTGAATGGTCATTTATCAGAACTTGCAGCTTTTTCATACTTAGCACACTAAATAATCAGACGGCCATTAGCAAGAATGTAAAGTGGACAGGTCATTAAAGCAACCAGTTGATGAATTTTTAAAAGAAATAATTTGTTTTTTTTCTCTCAATTAAAGAAAAAAATATTTTGGGTTGTTGACATAAAATAAGCTTATGCTTCAACTTCAATTTGTTTTTAAAAATACAATCTTTTAGAATGTGTTCTAAAAGCATAGTACGCCTAATTTTGGTGAGAAATTATCTGGAAAATGATTTGACATAAAAAACCTTTCAAGTTTATGCTGGTTTATGCCCTTTCTTGTTTTAGGATATATCAGTTAGCGGGTCGGACTTATGAACCTAAGTTAATGCATTCTCATTTACACTCTTTGTCAAATCATTTGTCATATTTACACAATACAAACTTTAAGGATCGCCTACGCAGTTTGTTTGCCTTTCTGCTATATCTCAACTTAACGATGACAGCCCGGCGGCGCGGTTAGGCGATTTACAATTTTATGTTCAGACAATCCAGATCGTACTAACTATTGCTCGCCATCGAATCGTTATATTTATAATATTGGTTCGAGAATCGAAATTCAGTCGATATTCCGATGATTTTGCTTGGATCCGACCGTATCTCTGTGGGGATTTTTACGTCATTAGCTGGATTTTTTTAATTTTAGGACTTTGCCGTTTAATTTCGTTTTCTAGATGTAATCATCCGCCACTATATTTAACAATTTACCAACCCTGTACTGGTTTTGTATTATTTAATTTATTCATCACACGACAAACGGAAAAAGCACCAACATGATGACATTATTTGAGACTTGGTATTGAGAAAGTACTCTCTGTTCACGCTGAAGTCGTTCACAATATTGACTATTCACATTTGAATATAAATGTTCGTGTTTTTTGGAATGCAAGAAATTGACCCGACATAATGGCGTTGTTATCCGTCTACTCATATGGACTCGTTCTGCTTATGAGGCGCTTAACTTAAAATCTGTTTGTATTATGATACCTGATTCATGTTTTCAAGATGTTCGCATGCCTCATATATCATTCACCATTGGGGTGATAGCCATCGATGTACACAAAAGTGTGCGCCCGTTAATCCCCACAAAAGCAACAAAATCCTCGCACAGAATTTGTTCACCCATCAGCTCATAAATTCGTTGTTTTTCCAATCACTCATTTTGTTTCAAATTAATCTAAGTTTTTGGAGAGTTGAATGAACTACCGGTTCTGGAATACGATATATTACAACTTTTAAGCTTAGAATTCTCAATATCACTTAGGACGTTGTCACGCATAAATAATTTCACTTTCAAATTGAGCAAAAATATTAAAATTCAAGAAATATCATTTTGGATTATACATTTGACTGATCTGCGATTCACGCACGACAATGCTGATGGAGTAATGTTTGTAGTTTTCGCAGTCTAATATGGATCGTTGGCACATCGCACTGATGAACCATTTGAAACAATGGTTGTTATTCAACATATGATAAATCCTATGTTTACTAAACTATGATGTTTTCACATGGATTTTGTACAGGGTACTTGTATGGGATGGCACTTCAATAACGGGTAACGTGGGGGTTATTTTCTCAAGCTTTCGGCAGGATTTCGAGTGGGCTAAATTGTTAGGAAGATAAAATCCCGGAAGAAAATAATAAGAACATCGATAACACTTTGTCAAACTTATGTTTTGACAGCAACTGGATGAAACAAAGGAACGCGTAAATCAAAATATAATTTGACGTAGTCTTAAAGTAGCGTGAAATTTCTCCTGTAGCCTGCCTAACTTGTTGAACAAAATTATATATATTCATGTAAAAAAAAACTAATTAGAAAGCCCTGCTTTCGTGCGAGACAAAAACAATTGAGTTATGAATTCGAATAATATAGCTTCAATATACCAGGATGACACCACACCAACCCTTCCGCCCTTCCCTGATTAGAACTCATATTTGATTTTTTGATAATGATTGACAAATTGAAAAAAAAAAATCAAATAAAAAATCAAAAAGATATCATAATCTGTTAGCTTTTTGCAGAACGTATATGTACCAAGGCATGATTTTGTCATAATGATGACTTTGCTGAAAATAATGCAATTTTCAAATTAACACGGTGTTGTGAATAGTCCCTCATTTTATGGTTATAGAACGATATCCACAGCCATTATACCATAACTTGCATAGCGAATGCACGTTAAATTAAGGATTCTTGTTGTATTACACTTCCACTTTAGACTTGGCACATTGTAAACAAACTTGTTTATTTTGACACGCTCATATACCCATAATAGAGAGGGGCAATTGTTCAACATGGGTATGACGAAACAACGCCTTTGAATCAGCCTTGTACGAATATTCAAAATCTTATCCTCGAAATAAAACAAAATTCATTAACGGTACTCCTCGAAAATGTTATGTGTACTTTGGCTTCAAAGCGTGTATAAGCAATAACCCTATTTAGTGCATCAAAATTTTGAAGAGCAATATTTTAAAACTAATAATAATTAAACAATAATTATGAGAATGAAAGAATGATTGATGTATATTTGGCATGATTTTCTGTGGCTGATACATATTTCGTCAAATTCTGGTGGGACAGAAAATATAAATTAGCCTTTGAAGTTTTAGAAAATATGTGGTTTGGTAAACCGGTATCAAACCAGATCAGAAACAGATGAGCCGGCTGAACAAGTAAACTAGGTTGGTCATATTAGATTGCGAGGTCGAAGTATACTATAACAACGATTACTGTTGATTGTTTTGGCATTTCATTCGTTGCTAGCAGAAATATATATACAATGATACCTTGCAGCCTATATTACAGGTAGAATTTGTGACCCCTTCCCAATTGCTTCTTCCCGCGTTATTTTTGGATGAACTTCATTTTGACAAGCGGTCCCATTGCTGACTAATGCGCCTATTCTCAGATACCTTGTTATGCGTTTTATCATCACACCTTATCGACAAAAATGTAATTTGTGCCTAAACAAATAAGCACGTAAAAAAATTTGCCACCGTTTGCCACTTTTTGACTGTGGAAAGTTGTAACCCGATCTGGTAATTGGTCCGAATCGGGAGGAAATTCAAATACTTTCAGCAAACTCAGTTTGCTTCAATTTCACGGGATTAACTACTAAAGTTGCTCGGAGAAATATAGGAACAGTTGCTCAGAAGGATGAATAGTAGGCCAATCGTGGGCAGATAAACAATATCCACCCAGCAACAACCTTTAACTTTTGTTGTCGTCTATCCAAGATATAAAATGTTGTCTTGAGCAGTACAGACCAAAATACTCTTTGACTAACTGAGCCATGCATGAAGTCAACAAATTTGAATTTTCAAATTGGTCCTTTATTCGCGCTTGCTTGATCGAGTATAACACAAATGTAGCATTCCACCATTTTCTTACTTAGTGTACCGTAAATTGTTTTGAAAATAAATGGAATGATTCGGAAATCAACATTTCCACTGTTTGTCGTAAGTCGGTTGATATTTATACAGATTTCTCTTCTCATTACTCTTGCATCACTCACTACTGCTATAAAACATTGTGAAAGTTTATTGTTTTTATAGTAATTGCTCTAGAAAGTAGTTGTTACTGTAATCTAAGAACTTTTACTAATAACATGAACGCATTTTATATGGTCGCGATCGGTAAAATTGTTAAGTCAAGAATTAATATGGTACATGGTACGAAATCAGAGCAGATCAAGTTAACTCCTCACGGATGCAAGTTGAAATTCTCCCTCTCTTCTCATATGGGGACGCACTGGGTTGAGTTAAGAAGGCCAAGTTTAATTAAACGAAGTCGAAACATACCAGAACGCTATTAATTGTACATAAATACATAAATCATGTTTAAATTTCAAACGTTCAATATATCACTCTGACACCTCTTCCGTTTTCATAATCTCGTATGTCAATTAGAAAGGAATACCGAAGAAAATTAGAATGAACATTGAATATTGCCATTTCTCATGTTGATTGCGAAATACGTTCTTTTGCTCGATTCTTGATGGCATAATAAGCTAACCAACCGTATTTTTTTTTTATTGTTTGAACTTTCGATATGATGAATTTCAATAACGTTTTCGCGTTTTACAAAATACCATTCCGTCAAATCAGCCCATTATATTGTCTCGATGATTATGAAATATCAACCTGCGGTAGAAAATTGCCCAATACCGCGATAAATCTGGTGCCAAAGGTGGCGAAATTATGAAGTCTGTTTGTCTGAATCCATACCCATGTCATTGAATTGTGTTACGCGTATTTAGTCAACTTGAATACACTTTTGAGAATAATTCGAGCTCAGAAACGGGCATAAGGGTTTGAGTATGTTTTCATTCGACAAAGTAGCAAATTTTGACGTTTCAAGACAATTACGACGATTCAATTTACTATGTTTTTAACTCTCTATGGGGGTTCCAAAATAATTAACCGAACAATGTAGGGTTATGACTTCCATTCTCTAATTCTTGCGCATCAACCGAACCTGCTTTTCTGGTTATGGGTGGAGTATTTAATACCAGTTAAAGTAATAAAATAAAAAAAAAACACTAAAACTTTGACACAAAATTCAACGTTCAAATGCTTTTTCAATAAATTATATTTCTATTTTCAGGCATGTGTGAAAAGAACGTTTCAGCTTTACTGCCAACCATGATGAGCACATTGAATACATTACCAGATCCAAATCCGGAATTATTCCGGGCTCTTACGGATGAACCGATCCCTCAACTCAAATACCAGATTGTCAAATTTCCAGTTATGGGAGAACTGGCGTTTCATCACCACAAAAACAGCGATGATACACCGATTGTCATTGAACATGTTTCAGGAAAAGGATGGACATATAGTAAGTACAATTAGAAAATGTATATTTGAATACTTGCCTATATTTGTCTATTTATTTACAACATCTTGAATATATCGGGAGTAAACTGTAACGATAACTTTATTTTAATTTTTGCACTGGAAATTGTTGGCATCAATATACAAATAAAGTATGCAATTAATTTACTAAATTAATGAACCCCTGTATAATATTATTTAGAGATAACTCATTTTAAATTGGTTTATTTAAGGAATATGGTTATATATTTCATTGGTAGCATTATAAACATCAAAGCGAGCGATGAATAAATTCTAAGCGGGCTTTACAAATTAGTGCCCTTTTTAGCATTTGTGCAATGTTACAATTTTGTTGATTCTTTTGCCTTTTGTATATAATATGTATACTTAGCTGGCTTAAAGACTTTTTCTCTCGGATATAGGATCTGGTTTTGTGTATACACAAACAATCTGTAACCTCAGACAGGTCGTTTACCAGAGTACCGTAAACAAATCACTTTTAAGGAAAATAACTTAATTCATACTTATCCATATTTACTATGAAGATAGCGTTTAATCGCATTTCATGCTTCTAGTTGAGTAAACGAGAAATTCATGTAAGCATTCCGACATTCAGCGTTCTATTTTATTTCTAACATTCAAAAGTATGACTACCTAAAATGTCTGGTTTAACTATTAGAGGACAGGCTTTATTGCAAACATTTTTTATACCGACTAATTGACTATGCTCCATACCAATTTGAAAAAAATTTTTAGGGGTTTTGTAGTTTTTTCATACCATGATTCGACGAGGAACCTCAAGAACCTATATTATTATATAATTGGCAAAATAGGTTAAGAATATAAATCATCGATGTGTTTGCGTTCAAATTCAAAAGCAAGTATACCAGACCACAATTGTAATGGGGTTGTCTTCCATTTCAAATACTTGGTTGACTGGCAGACAGATTAAGTTAGATTCCCGGAGCTACCAAATCGTGTTCTATAACTTTGTAGTTTTCCATCCATATATAGCACAATAAATGTCGCAGCTTATTAAGTATAATAGAGATACTAACGACTTGTCAATGAAATGAGCGTTACAAAGTAGTCTTCCGAAAATTGCTCAAGTTTGTATAAACAAGGTAATATTCGGTAACTCAATTTGATTTTGTTAATTTAACACTATGAGCTGTGAAACGTTCAATAAAGGACATAATCTTTAGTAAGAATTAAATTCATTTCCGAAGGACTCATCGTTAAAGAGTAATTATTAACTGGAGTTTTGTGTTTACACCAGTGTGACAATATTTGCTAAGCGTTGGTCGAGATCGAGTAAACTGTTTGAAAATACAAATATTGTTTGTTCTTGATGGGAAAATCACTACACTCACTACAAAATACCGACAAATTTGACTAATTTTTTCAGTGCACTGTGTGTATAGACTATAACAAAATATGAAAAAGTAATTGACTGTCATATCGGATTCATTCGCCTATTTTTGTGTTAATTAAGTAATGGTCTAAACATGACACGTCATTGATATAAAACGTGTGTGTCGAAAACTTGATGAACATTTTACCTGTACAACAACTGACTAGGATTTCTCTTCCAATTAGGCGGGATGTCAGCTACAGAGTATTGGGAACACGTACAAGAAGAACTGCATGGGAGAGGAAATTTTACCGAACCAATGTTATGTACTGTCAGTTATTTCGACAAATGCATCTCTCTTGAAGAATGTCACATGTCATGTGACTCAATGGGGGCAGCATCCTTTCGATGGTTTCACAATGGATGCTGCGAGTGCGTTGGACCGTCATGTCTCAACTCTGGCAACGCTTATCCGAAATGCAAAGCTTGTACGACGTGATCACTCGTATAATGGTGTATCGACTGCTGCTTCCGTGCCAAGAATTGATGAAATATACTTGCATCATATAACGATTTGGGATACGCTTACAAACCTTTCAACGGTTATACAATTGGAGAAAAGTCGCAAAAAATTGCCAGCATGTGCTTCCATTGCTACTACACTCCCCTTAAATGTACATCCACTTGCTATTATTGTATAGCGGACCGTCATAAAATTTGATACAATTTATACCTACGCATAACCCCATTGTTTTCAGCTTTTGGAAACTGACAGGCAGTGGTGGGATTCAGCCGGTTCGCATCGGTTCTATAGAACCGTCTCAGGAAATTTTATGAGATCAGCGAACCGGTTAGCATTTCTGGTTACTGTCAATGTTCTGTTTGTAACAGAACCGGCTGAAAAATATGACTTTTGTGAAGGAACCGGCTGTCAAAAAATTTGAATCCCACCACTTCTGGCGAGGTATTATAATACAGGTGTAATATAGCAATGACTACAGAAGCTGCGAGATGGCAACTTTTCCAAGCGCTTATGCTGTACGGTTTTCATCGAAACACAAACTAATAGTTCTTCTTTCTGGAAATTTGTAAAGTTCTTTTTTATGTTTCTTAGACGCAGAATAGCTTTATCACATCCATTTTGCATGGTAATTGAATATCGATTCTTTTTGAATAATTATTTTATTTCAATTCTGTCGTTTGTACATTTTCATATTCACTAATGAAAAGCATTTTTTTCCAAACAAGTAAAGTCCCAAAATCGAAAATGTATTTGTTGGGCAAGAATAAGATACATATAATGTAATCAATAGCATTTTTATTCTGCTACTGGGTAATTGGTTGTGCGAAAAGAAAAAGAAAATGTTCTTGGTTTTCGATTTGGTATTCGATACTCGAAGGAATATCTATGGCCGTCTCTTCCAGTGCCATTGTTTGAAATATACATCAAACTAGTTCAAATCTTATGAAAATCTTGAAATTATTTTTTCAAAAATTGAGTTGAAAGTAACATTTAAACTTTGACAGACCGCGTGATAAATATGTTTTATATTCGCTTTGAAATTGCATCCAGATCCATTTCAGAATCAAGATTCGATACTTATGAAGTATATTCCCATATTCGAACGAAAGGATATTTTTAGTTTTTTTTTTTTCAGAAAATTCAATTACATTTAAAATGTATTTCTATCGCCAGTTTCATTATTCTTCTCCTCAATTGTGTACGATATATTACATTATAGATTTTTCTTTTGATAAGCCAAATTTTCTCGCCGTCAATATAACGATAGTGTAGTGAAGTACCGATCTGACACCTGATAGATCTCCGGCGTGACAAATTATCGAGGCTAAAAATTGCACCGGAGGCTATACTTTATTTCCATGACGTTTGTGTTGTTTCAAAGCAGAAAATATATTTAGAACAATATCATACTTGGTTGGAAGCAAGTGATTAATGGAGGTCCTATGGCCTAACTTTAATATGTTATAAATTGAGTATAACTGTTTTGTTTTTGGTATTTTGTGATGTTTGTTGTCTGTACATAAAATTGCTAATGAAGCCATTTCAAGGCAATTAATACTTGGAAATCGTTCAAAATACTGTTAGTCCTTTTCGTCAAACAAATATAATTGTTACATTCCAGAATTGCAACCATATTTCTTATATATATCCCATGAAAGTCAATGAAACTACTTTGTAATTTTACTTATTCCGTTTTTGTTACATTGCTTTGATATTTTTGTAGCCCAAAAATTATCTTAGAACACTTTATTTAAAATGGTGGATTTTCTTTTTCTGCGATAAAATTTTTGTCCTATCTTAATTTGAATTGCCCTTTCTCGTGGTATCACGAATTTACACTTTTCCTATCAAGTTACATTTATAATCTCTACTTTTGGGGTTTCGTATACGTAATTTATGGGTATTATATCGATAAACGTTATTGTTTATACAGAGATAAAGGCGATTGTACTAAAAATTCCTGCGATGTGGATATATATTCCTGTTCTTTTTTGAAGAAAGGTACATTTGGTACAATGATTGGATTAGCCTAGCCGGTACCGCGACATTACTACATATTAGAAACTGCATTATTCTATTTGATGGATTAAATATATACAAATTGCAATCTCGCTCAAAATGGCCGCCTATTGAACTAGAAATACACATCGTTTTAAGCCCCAAAACATCATAATAAGTAATAATCTGCAATTGGAGAAATACAGTAACATGCTAGAATCAGTAACAGGCACAATGGAATGAAGTAATTTTTGATGACAACATGGAATTATTGGAAATTCATATTAATGTCTTAAGTCAGATTGATGTTGAATAAACTCATCAGAAATATCCACTTTCGAAATATAGTATATATCGGAATATGAAAATGAACAATTTCAAACTAACCAAACAATTTCATTATATCTGGAGTTTCAACTTTTTGGGAACTTGGGTACAATCACAGACAAAACAAAAGCTAAGCTTATTTATGTCAACGCGGAAACCTTAACGCCAGAAAGGTCGTTCGGATTAAGTACTCAGTGCCGACCCTTGTAGGAGAAGATTATGGAGCTTAATTTTCACAATCAATCACCTAACTTTCCTAATTTGCAAGTGATGTATCTTCCTTTTTTTAAACGTACACTTCTATAGAATTAAACCGTTTTTGGTGACTCATACATGCAGCGCAAATAAACCGAGTATGTGATGTACAAAACATGTTTGGTCCACTATACGTGTTGAGCAAAATTAAACTCAGGGTAAATATTTAACGACTACTGAGCGTTTTTCAATAGATTATTTAATTATTTTATCTCTAAGTGGGTGACAATGTTAAGATGAAGTAGACAAATGTTATCTATGACTGTGAAAAAGGATAAGAGCCCGGACGTTTACAATGAAACAAAACATTAAGTTTGAATGTAATTTTTATTCATGGAATCTGTTTTTCATGTTTCAACAAAAACTAGTGCTATTGGTTGCAATTCTACAGTTTCTTTTATGCTCTTTCCCCGGTGGATGCATTTGCATATAGTGCAAGAATGCTGAAGATTGAGTATTTCAAGTGATCACAGCAGCACACTCTGTAACATTTCATCTGAACAAAGTCAAAGACTTTATTATTAACGATCGTGAAATTGGCTTATTTACTCAAAGGCCAAGTCAACAATAAGCGGATTTTAGTTTTGATTGAATCGCATTGGAATTTTCGTAATCATAAACGACTTTCATACAAACATATGTCATAACCGGTACACCGAACCTCCCCTTCAATATACCGTTTTATACTTTCAATTAAATAATTTAATCAGCGTGTGATTAACAACTTTTTACGAACACAGCAGTATGCTTTCAAAAATTGGGACATAGCAGCACAATCATATGCACGTGTATAACATGTTAAACATAAAGACGAAAGCCGATCTCCTGTAGTAAAAGTCATGACTCTCTAGCGCACTTGTGTCGCATGCCATTCAGTTATGACTGTGGCTTCACTCAGAGTCTTGATATATGTATGGCATCGTCATATTATTACAAAATCATCAATTCAAAACACTAATATTTGTTTGTATACAAACAATCCTGCAGTCACGATATTATTGATGAGGGTTCTTTCTCCTTTAGCAAAACACTGCACGCCAATGAAACGTTGCGAATTTCCAAACTTGAAAATAGTGATACAGCGCTATAGTGGGGAAGTAGCGGTTAACACACACGCTAACGTACGTCAATCCAATACTTGTCTTCTGTTCTTACTTTTTATAGTAACCTGACCAGACAATTCTTGCGATATTTATATTTGCAGGTATATCTCGTTTCGTCTGAAAAAGTTAGACTATGTGATCTCTAACGCAGTGGTTTTCAAACTTTTTTTCGAGACCCAGATACTGAGTTGTCTGTTGCTCGGGGTCGCGACTCACAGTTTGGGAACCACTAATTCAACGAAAGCTCACAAATACACATGCTATTTCGCGGAAAGAGATTATATCATTTTTTCATCATTCTGATACTATCTCGTTCAAGTATCCTTGTGGCTACGAAGTAAGAAGTAGACAATGAGAAGGGACCTGCATTCAATATCATACAAAAACCTAGTATTTTCAGAATGTTACTACTTTGGATATTTTACTTCATTTTATATAATATAGTAACAGCATATAGAATAGGATATGGGCATTCAAAAATGAAAGATTGATCAAATGCATGTATGGTTATAAAGCAAGGCACAACAATAACAAATATGCATACTTCTAGTAAACAATATTAATTGCATTGAATCGAAATTGGCATCTGTATATCTTTTTTTCACGTAGTTGAGGTAGTGATCCCTTTTATATTTCACAGTTTTTAGAAATAGGATTGTAAGGTTCCCCTTCGTCTAATGTCCGTAGTCCAGCAGTGAAAACTACCTCCAAAGGAATTTGCATGGCGGAAATTTACTTTGATAACTTCCATACCTGGAAAATAAATATATATATGGGTTTATTTCTATGTCGGTAAACAGAATATTATAATGGTCATGATGTCCATTTTTTTTTATGTAAAACCCTCTAAAGAGACAGTATTAGAATGGAGCATGATTTGCCTTTCATCATAGGGCTTTTAATTAAACCAATGACATAACCTATCCCACGCACAATCACGACGCCTATATATATAATTACATTCAGAAAACATATAAACAAACTATTACCCAGTTTCTCAAACATTTTAATAGTGTCGATCTCCTGCGCTTCACAGACGACTCTATTTTCATCCAGCATAAGAGTATTCATTGAAATCCATTTAGATGAAAGCCAAACTGGGTGAGCTTTAAAACAAAATTGACTTGATTATACATAAAATGATGTCTAATATTATATTTGGATAATGTTCCTGTAAATGCAATAAAATGCACTTAGAAGACACAAAAGCACAAGTCAAACAGACGTAAACGATAGATGTATTTATGTACTTATTACTCACAGTCTGGTATACAAGGTTTTGGCGCTTCAACAAGTTTCCATCCAGCCTTTTCAAATTGATCGATCTGAGTATAAGAAATATGTTTTGTCGTTGAATTTCAGTACAATCAGAGGTAGAAATTATTAAACTTTAGAATTTTCAGCAACTGTGTGTAGTCATTTCCCGGGATTAATTTTGATAGTACAAAAAATAGAATATTCTAAATATTCGATATCTTCCGCTTTGGGTCTAAAAATGTCATACAGTGTAATTTCACATTGTAATAAAAAAAACTATATCCAGCAAGTTTCAGTGCACCTTATTACCTAGCCTGAAGAATAACCCATTTATGTACTACTGTTTGCAGTACCAATGAATGGAAAATGCTCACATACATACATACGAAAGTACAATATCACAATTCACAACACTAAAATCTTTTGAATATGGGCAAATACCTGATAACATGGTCTTGCTGGGTTAACAATTACAAGTCCTGGCCCAACAATGCTAAAAGTAGCATCAATGTGCATTGGGTTTGCATTCTTGAAAGTTACGATATGTATTTTGTATCCTTTCGGCTCCAAATGTCGTTTCATCCATTCAATGCCCATAAAATTAGTCACCTGGAATTCAAACAAAAACACATTTTGGACTAGACTTAGAATACACATATATAGAACAGTCTAGCTTTATACAAGCAGGCAAACCCTTGTTGAGAGAATCGGAATAATATGTAATATGTAAATTTTTTCAATGTCTAATATTACAGCCTACAAAACATTCATCTACTTACTTGACTTGGTTGTGCAAATATATCTTTTCCAGCTCTCATGAAGTCAGCAGCATCGAAACATGGCTCAAATTCAGTGACGACAAATTTTCCTTGTTTTGTCATACGTTCGGATTCTTCTGTATCTCCCACTGGATAATTCTATCAAAATATAGAACATAAACATCAATATATAAAAAATCGAATAAATTGAGACAAAATGCGTTTTGACCTATCTTTATACCCAAACACCCGCCTCATAAATTTCGAATGTGATCCATTGGATTTGCATGTACCGGACTTTGAGCCACCCTATCACATTTGAGCATGCATTTGTATGTTTTGTATTCTAGATGTTTTCAAGCCATTTTCAAAACAAAAATTTTGGTGTGCTGGAAATTGTACTCCCTAGGAGGGCGGTGTAAAATAATTGTGCTAGTGATTTCAGCTAAAAGCTGCTTTGCATAACTCAACCTTCCTTTGAAAAATGGTATTGATTTTCATGATGTGCTCTTTCACAGTGTTTCCCAACCAATTGGCCGCGACCCAAAACTTGGACTGAAAATTTTCTTGAGTCGCTTGTTTTTTTTCAACAAAAATCTAAAGGTTACTAATATTATTTTCTAATAAATTTTATTGTTTATTTTATATTTGCTATTGAAGTGTAGTGATTGTATATGAGGGAAGTATCAATGTGTAAAAAACTTAGCAGCATTCATTTTGCTAAGTGAATTCACGCCACCATTACAAAAACTCGCCGATGGCAAACAAGCGCTGCCTTCTCACATTGGGGTAATTTATGGGGGAATAAATGGCCATGAAAGTACGACATGTCGTTTAGTATTTGAGCATGTTCTTGGGTCGCTAGATTTTACAAAAAAAAAATTCTAATTTTGGGTCTATTGAAAAAAAGGTTGGGAACCACAGCTCTATAATATATATATTCTATTATGAAAGTTGGATCATGATAAAATTTGCAAACGATACTCACAGAATCATAAAGCTCGTCGCTCATTAGTGGCTTTGGTGCTGTTGTCCATTTAGCTCCGCGTCTGAAATAATCTTTCACAATGCTACGGTAAGCTCGATATTCAAAGAATCTTGAACGCCACGCCATTGGTGCTTCAATTATTTCGTCCCCAAAAACGATGAGCAAATCCCTAGGCATAGCTGAACCTTGACCTGAAAATAAATATTCGAAGTTAGAATGAGGGAAATGCAGATAGACGACGCTGGAGATTGAATATAAAATATTGAAAAGAATTATCAACGTCAATTCATTTTTAACTAGGCTCTAAGTTTTGTCGTCTAATTGTAGCAGATATTGAATTTAATTTCAAGTGAGGTCATTTTAATTTGGTTCTTCCCTAATATATTTCCTCATCGTCAAGTTTACAAAATTTTGTAGTATTTTTATTCAGGACTTCTCATGGAACAAGTACAATTGAATTTGTTTAAGGAAAGTATAGATGCTGTGATGACGAAGATTTTAAAGATTTAATCTGACATCTAAAATGATTATACTGTTTCAAGAGTCTTTCTTTGCACTAACACAAATGCATTTCTGTAACGTTTCGTCTGACCAGGTTCAGACTTCTTCAGACAAGCCTTTTTAAACTATGATGACTATGGTAACGCGATGACATGCACATAAATAATGGTTAGCAATTGTTGAATTTGTTTTCAAATATAGAGAAATAAAATTGGGGGCAGTGCAAGAACTTCCACTTCCACAAAGGCATAGGAAAGGTAGTTAGTCTTGCGTAACCTCAACTGATAGTTAAAATAAATATATATGTTTACAAAAAGAATAAAAATCACTTATGTATAGATTATTGCGCACTAGAGTGCATTAAAAAAAATTTTTTAATGCTTTTTAATGGTTCCACCTGCAGTTTTAAAGTCAGGCGTCTCGCATACTTTTGCCCAATCTACAATATCTGGACGGCGAACGACAATTCCTTCTCGGCGCAAGATATTGCAAAACTCTTCAACTTCTCTGATTGCTCTTTGTACATATTTTTCGGGGAAAGGTTTGCCTGCATCTCTTTGAAAGAAATCCCAATGCTCCTCGGATACAATCGACTGAAAAAATAATTCAATTGCAATTTTGCGTTAAAAGTGATTTAATTCATTCGGGCTTTCAAACAAATATTATGATACAAGTACAACGTATTACTATGGCACATTTTTTCTTCAAAATTATGCAGTCAAACATAAATTCACACCTTCGTATGCAAACACATCTGATGATGTTATGGTAACCAATTATAACAAGAATGGAGACCTCTCTCAAAATTCTTAGAAGGACGAATGCCCACGCAGTCTAAAGTCCGACGATCTACATCGCTGCCAGTAAATTACATTCAATTGAAATATATCCTCCTGCTCAGTGTAAACGGTCGCATATTATTTACCTTAATGTCTACAGTTAAGTTTGGAACAGTAAGTCCCTCGGCTCTTCCTACAATAATTTCTTCTAATGGATCCCATTCGTTGTAGGAAGATACTGGACATTCCTCGCTATCTTCTTTTAAATTCTGAAACAAAGAAGTCGGTTGTCAAGCTCATTAGTTAGAGTTCCATATGCAAATATGTTTTGATATGTGTTTATTCCATATGTGTCATTTGTACAGATATATCTTCAAGACGGTGTTAGGATTAGGTGAAGAAGTGAAAGAAATCGAAAGGTCAAGTCATAAGCGATCACTGACATGTTTCTATTAATTGTGTTCGTCTTCGCTCTAATCAGTTTTGACAGTTACCCCAAAATTGATCAATACAATCGCACGAACTTGCGTTCGTTCAGTGAATGAAAGTAGGAAATGAACAATCGATCCACGAAATAAAAATGTAAAACATATATATACTTGATTTCTCAAAAATCAAAGCTTATGAATGATAATGAAATTACCAGCGCTGGGTTTGTTGAAATGGCTCTGACTTGATTGCTTCTTTGTAGTCCCTGGGAGAATCAACAATTCGTTAGATTCCCATATTGCAAAATCGAAATTTGTATATAAACTTCATCTTGGCGCTCTCAAAAGATAATTGGGCGCCAGAAATTATTATATTCGCCAATTTTATTCCATACATTAGGAATTGGCATTTACTGAATAAGTTTATAATCTCTTCATTAGTTATGATTATCAGACTAAAACCAATCTCATCTATAATATTATTTGATAAATCTAGATATATATAAGAAATAATCTCACTAAAGTTTATATGTTTGCGCCGTCATGAAATTTGTTTTGATTTTTGTCTGGTCAGCATACACATAATTTTGCTGGCATTTATATATATATACAATTATAAAACAGAATAAACAATGAAATGAGAAGACCATTGACAGATTTGTTGAAGAGGTCTTTTTATGTATATATACCATCACTAATCATATATAAAAATATTACTAATAGTTGTCCGGCTACCTTAACTCAAATGGATATTGCTGGTTTTCATAGGAATGTATAGGGTGAGCTCATCTCGTGTTGAATAAAACTATCTTCTTGTACTCCACTAAAGTTTGTTATACTCATATAGCGCACTCAGATTAAAATTTATAATATAAATTAAATTACCACGACAGGATTTTCCTCGAACTTTTTAATTGGTTGTCTTCTTGGCTGTATCTGAAAAAGTAAATGCCATTTTGTACCTAGTGCATCCATACAAGGCTTTTGGCATGTGAGGAGGGAGGGGAATGGGGTGTTGTTACTTAATATACCCGTATGGTGTAAGAGTGTTGCATGATTGAAGCACCCAAAAATTTCCTTAGTTTATCAGTTCAAATTTAAAGTAATCAAAATGACTTGTGATATACGCGTTGGACATGACCAAGTGTAAATTTAAGATCTCCGATGTGTTGTGTACACCGCACGACACCAATGCATTGATGGCGAAGGCGATGTCGAACCGAAGGGTTTCCGATCTTTCTAAACGGGAATAGTAGATGCTTCATTGCAGCTTTTTAAAGAGTAAGAGGTGTAAAAACACCACATTATTTGAGATAAGCCCTAAAGCACCCGCACAAAGTCGAATTTCCGGAACTAGTAAGCATAGCGAGACATGTCATCCATTTACGCGTATTCATCCATTATATTACTCTCCGGGGATAGTCAGATATTTTTCAAGTTTAAAGGTAGCGACGATGATCGGTTGTCGGGTTGGGGCTAAAATCAAAATATGAAAGTCATCGCTGTAAATACAATTCCACCAAAATAAAGTATTTGTCCTGAATGACCTCATCGTATAGTAGCAAAGGTTTGCCTGGCTACAAGGAAATAAAAATCAATTAATCACGAGTGATTTTAAAAGTCACGAGCGCTTCCTTTCGGGTTACTTGCTTTATTTATACTCGGATAGTTCTCCGGCACGAACTGCAAATCAATACCACGAATAAAATTGAAAAATCGCAAATGAACCACTGATCCAACCTAAAGCCATGCTTTAGTTACGTGGATGGTTTTTTGGCATAAACTGATTGATATTAATTTTTATCATCCAGTATCAAGAATAAATTCCGGGAATATCGTATATATAACCTTATTCATTGAAAATCTTTCCACTTGTATGATTGCACATCCTTAAAACGAGTGTATAAAATGAAATGTTAGGACGATTAGAAACGTATATGCTTGACCCCGAAAATGTAGAATAGCAATAAACTTACAAGCGTAGGATTCGCTGAAATGCTCCGAACTGGATTCCTTCCGCGCTGTGTATAAGAAGAAAAATGTTGATTTCTTTTGTGCGGTCATACTTTATAAGCCGTTTGTTCCATAGTATTATAAATGGTACTATTCACTTAGAGGTCAGAATTTGCCGTGTTTATTAAATATAAATCTGTAGGATGAGCCCATCTCGTTTTAGAGGATGGTCTTGTACTAAACTTGCGCCGCTTTAGTAAAGTCTATTATGCTCATATATTCTACAATGATGATTAAAATTTATAATCGTGCTAAGCGTTAAGAATACGCTCCTCACCGTACCTCTGATGACTCAGCGTGGATTCGCAGGTTTAAATCCCTAATAATTATGTGCAAGAGGATTGCCAGACTCCTCGCCTCCGTAGGGTGGTTCACGTACCCGCTGGTCGGATACGGCTTCCTTCACCATCAAATCCATGATCTGAAACAAATACCTGGCTAACTTATCCCATACCCGAAATGGGCTGGAAACCAAACGAGAGGCCGTGGTACGCCATACGAATAAGCCTTCTTATCGACTTTCCTCCGCCCCAGGGTATATATGGGAATCCTATCGTATCCTATAGTAGCAATGAATATACATACCACCGCTGGATTTGCTGAAAAAGTTCTAATTGGATTTTTTCCATGGTTAATCTAGAAAAAATAAAATGTCATTTTACACCCATTATCAGAATGAAATTCGTTAATTACTTTATATACATATATATAATATATGATACTTTGCCATATTTATGAAACACTGCAAAACTGGTAAGTACAGATATATACTACCCTATCTTTATGGGAAGCATGTTATCCTCATTAAAGCAATTACTACAAAAAGCTATAAAAAACTTCTTACCAAAAAACTCGAAACCCTGCTACGAAGCATATTCTTTTGGATAGTACACGACTGATAGGTAAAAGTCAAAACGTATTATATATATATGCTGGATTAATACAGGAAACATTAGTCGTGACACTCGCTCATAAATCAAACCTGCCATCTTTTAATACTATAGTATTTATGCTGATGAATCTACATTTTCAGACATTAAATTGCAGATTCAGGGTGCCGATTCGAACTTTGCGAAGTACGTATAATAGAAAAGAGGCGGGGATTCTAGGGAAATGGCTAGTCCCAAACATTAAAGAATTATTACACATTGAAGTACTTGGAATAAATTTTCATCTGTGTATTACTGCCATACGAACTGTCATCATCTACTCTACAGTACTGCTGCTGTTATAGGCTATTTAACATTATCTTCCCCTCTCAATCAGCTTCTTCTGTTATATAAAAACATTTTAGCGCTTTAGGGCATTTTCATCAATGGGTGTCTACTGTCTGAATGATTACTACTGTAATTGATTAAGGTGCTAAGATAGAGACGAAGAGCTACAATAAAATATGAAGACATTATCTGAAATATTTCTGTGTATCAATGCAAATGTTTTTATTAAATCAAAAATAAATTGCAATGTTCTTAATAATATTCAAAATAAGTTATCAAAATTAGAACTGAACAATAAAAAAACCTTATGTTCTGGGTTTGGCCCTTGTACAGACTGTATTACTTGTTCCAAAAATTTTGCTTACACAGAATACCGATAAAAATTTACATTTGTTTATTTTGTTCAAGCATTCTTGCGTGATAGTCCTATTTATATACCAAATTACATGGAAATATATATACTATATGAATAGACGCACTCTTACTAGTTCCCAAAGTATCCTATGAGTCCTCACAATCTCCAACGTTGTATCAAGCTTTCCCAACGTTTGTCAAAGAACTCGAAGTTTCGTTATTATTTCGAATATCAGAAGCTTTTGGTGTTCATATATAACCACACATTATCGAATTTTCCGACGGTTCCGCATTTTTTCCAACATTTGACTTGACCAAAGATGCAGCTGCTTTCCACTACTCACCATCTACTACCAAATAGCACAGCAAGAAAACGAAAACGTATGAAAGGTTATTCAAAACCCTGCACTGAATTGGATTATTCCTGTGGAGCGTTATCGTTGCACGCGTTCAAATATTCTCAAATTTTGCTAAATGTTCTGCGTCCACATGAATGTGGAGGTACACATTTGGGTCTAATTGACCGTTTGTTGTTTGAACTGTTTATGATTTTTTTTTGTTCTATTTTGTGCCAAAACATTGAGTATGTTACTCAAACACAGGTTATTATTTTCTATTTTATTGATTTCAATATTTTGTTGCCAGTCCGCCAAGGTAAAACGGTTGGGAACCATTGTGACAAATTATAAGAGACAATAATACAATAAATAAGAGAGCAATGCTCTAATATAGGGGCACGAAAGCGCGCATAGGTTTACTATTTGTGGAGAAAATCGATATTTCCAATTTACAAATATGAAAATTTATTTTGCCTATTGACACAATTTAAATTTGAAACCATTGAAGATGTACTGTAACATGCAGGCTTGTCCATGGGACATATTTTTATACAAATGTGTGCTGTCCCTGAACAAGCCTGGTAATATGGCAATTGTTCCTATACCATGTAGGTTTTTCTAAAAGCTTTTCAGTGTTTTCACGAAGATTCCATTTTGAGTGAGTGTGCTAAAGTCTGCTCTGGGTAGCAAAAAAATTTTGAGCATAAAGGACATAAAATATCTACACGATAACAATATGTAAAGTTTTTGCAATATTGTCGGCAAATGTTCACATCGCGATCTTGCGTCAATCCCCCTTGAAAGTGAAAAGTTTTGTTTGAGGGCTCTCCACACTCGTTTTACTTTCGGGAATAATAGATCATGTCGAACAATTCTTTGTATAGTGGATTACGTTTAGGCAATTTGACTTGTGCTTGATGAAATGTTGGTTACCAACATCCAGTCAAATTTTCATGTTGCCAGGTACTTGTGAAGAAGTATTGTTATATTGTTATATTTCGTGTTTTGAAAGTTACGTATTTATGTGAAAAGTGTCATGCTGATGTTAGCTAACGTAGTGACATGCATTAGCAAATATGACGTTGTGCTTATCATGCCACGTTCTTGTATTTTTATAGAGCACTGAGTTTAGCATGGTTTTCTGCAATGAGGTAAACTGTTGTTAGTGAGTTACAAATGAGAATCTGTTCTGAACATTTCGAAGCCCATTATCGGGTATAACACATCCCTAATCATCACCTCAGGGGGTAATTATTATTGGGAGAGTTTGTAACATAAAAGACCTCAAAACTGAAAGAATAATCAGATAGGTGCACATGCCACATACATTCTAAAATTTTAAGACGATACAACAAAGTCTGGTCGTATTTGCTATAATCTGGAAATAAAGCTTCTTGCAACAGATATAATAAGATTTGACATGATTTAAGAATTAAATACAAAAACTAGCAACGGTATAAAATTGCTCTTCTTGTATACGACTATACGTAGTGGAAACAGGCCCATGTGAAATATTATGTATGTTGGCTCAAATATTCATATTTAATTGTCAGGTTGATTAAAAAAAAATGAACCTGTAACGTGTATAAATAAAGAACTGAGTTAAATATCAGAACAGAATAATAACATAATAATGGTGGTGCAGACTACAATCAAAAATTCGGACGAGACCGAAAAAAGTTATGATGTGAAAGTGCAACTTCCCGGCCAAGAGTCAGCCGTTGCCAATGGATACGAGGTAAAAAATTATACTTACCGAAAAAGTTGAGCCTTACACATAGGTAACACGTAAGTTCTCCTGCATAATGAATTTTGGTTTCCAAATGAATGTTCGAAAACCTGCTTTAGAAAAAATTACAAATAGTGCACATTTGATTGTCAACATCTTCAAATATTGAATACATAAAACTAACGAACTACGACCCAAAATGACGAAGGGTTTTTTATTAGTCTACTCTTAAAAGTTTGGTCTTTCAGATTACACAGATTGGAAAACATTCTCGCGTGAAACAGTTTAAGAAGAATTGGGGAAGCTCAGCAAGTCTAATTTTGAATATTGCCCTTATAATTACTGTTTTCATCCTTGGTATTTACATCATCAACCTAAACAAAAAATTGGAAAATATGAGAAATAGAGAAGATGAAATCGAATTGAAACCCCAGAAAATGGTATGTTTTAATATATACGAGTATATTAGAAATTAAATTTTATTACATGAAATTTCATGTGTGAATTTTCACAAGTTATCATTGCCTCAAAAATTGTTCAATTTTTATTTTGCCTATTCCAGGTTGACCACGAAAAAAGTGTTGATCTATCGGCAAGTGTTGATGATGCTGACCACGAAAAACTTCACCAGGTTTGCACTCCTCCATTCTCATACCTGTATCTTCAAAATTATAAGCCAAAATTTGCATATACATATTCATAAGTTTTTTGCAATTTTATGTGACTTATTATTGTGATGGACCCTTCAGACACATAAATTACTGAAAACATAAAATCCATCACTCAGACAGTGTGCTGAGCGTTTGCACACAATAAGAAACATTTTGTCACCAATAACTCACCAAGAAGAAAAAGATTCATATGTCAGAATTGCATCGTAAGAATATGAGCAATTTAGGAGTTTTGAAAATTTAGGAAAATTGAGGAATTTACCTCGACTTTTGGTGGCAAAAAAAGATGGCGGCGAATCGATATTTTAATCTGAATCATTGAATGGTTTAATATTGTATTCGAATATATCATTTGAAATGCCCAGCTCTACATCTGACACAAACTTCCATGAACCTTGTTTTTTATACGCAATCAGTATATTATTATACACAACAGATGGACAGGAGCTATGGAGCCAATCAATGGTTTGGGAGAGTCCGTCTTGTTCTTATCATAACCAGAACGTATGATGATTGTCCTGATGACTACCTTCTCAATTAGATGTCATCAAACATAAATATTATTTAGCATTGTTGTTGATGTAGTTATTATTTTTGTATATAATTTTTGGTCAGAAATAAGGCCATTTTGAGGTTGTACTGAGCTCCGCAAGATCAAAATATTGTTCATTAGTATTGCCTGTGATTTATTTTTGGTTTATCAGTTATTTTTACGGGAACAAACTTATGTGATATAATTGCGTAATGTTAAAATATGAATTCCATAAGTTGCACTCTTGAATATACTTGTCATTTTGTAATAAATAATTGCATTGTATATATAAGCGTCATTTTCTAGAAAAAATTTGAGATGAGCATATGAAGAAAGTTCTATTGTCATTATCGGGAAAACATCTATTATGCGCCCAATATGAAATCAGAAACATTTTGTGTAATATTTCCATCAATGAATTCCAATAATTCATTCACTGTATTGCAAGTTACAGACAAGTTATCACGCAATTGTGGTGATATTGAGTATAATTGTGTTAAATTGTGCGATCTTAATTTCCCATTGAAGACGTTTGAAATGCTATTTTTGTAATGATTGCTCAATATTGAGCAAAAAATTTACTAATTATATTTAAATGTAATAATAAAGGCAAGAAAAACGGTTCGAAATGAAAGTAAAAACTCTAACGTGAAACAGTTTTTTGTCAGTAATATTTTTGTCAATCTGCATGCTTACTTTGATTGTCTCATGTATAATTAGTCCTAATCAAGAATACGATGCCTGGTTGATATCAAATTAAAAACAATTTATCATGAAAAAAGCTCCAAGCAACGCGTCTCGTCCGGTATGATAGTAAACACATCGAAAACCGGGAGCTACTGAGAAATTACCAAGAAATATTGGTGCCGGCAAACACGCTCAAAACTGTCCACGTGTGATGCTCGTATACGCAATCCCACTTTACCTCGAATCTCGGACAGCAATATGAATAAACACACACATATACATATATATGGGCTATTTTAAACACATAATGCCGCTTGTTAAATATTGATCTTTGTGAAAATGTATCCCAACTCAGTGTTTTTTTTTTAATTTATACCATTACCCGCTACTACTCATCTGGTATCTCATCTCAATAATACTGCCTTAGTAATTCCTGATTTCACGAGTGATATTGGAAAAATAAGCAAAAATACGAATCGAAACACATCTATTTTCTCTAAATTTCGTCATTGATTGAAACATTTAGGGTTCAATGTATTGTATATAGTTACCAGCTGCTGATAACATGACATAAACTACACTCAGTCAACATTTTGTTTTAGAATTGCTAGAAAAATCATCAGTATGGGATTGTTCACTTTGAATAGAATCGAATCTAGAATTGACTTAATTTCGATGGTTATATTTTCCTCTCAACAATAACGATGACTTTGAGAAATTAACGTTATTCAAGCTAGATAGATCAATTTACACAAGCTCATGTGTCCTCCCGCGTAAGAGGAAATCACTGGAGCTAGGCCATAAATGAGTCCGGGACGCACTTCCGAGTAAATTTCATTGTATAAAACATCTATTTTTTGTATATACTTCTTCATCTTATATCTTTCTGTTCTAACATTGATGTTTCATTTTGTCTCGAAATTTTCACATTTTGAAATCATGCAAGAAGAAAACCTTCCCTTCAAGTATGATCATGTCCAAAAGAAAATTTATATCGCTTTTTAGAGATTTTCAAGTATTTATTGATCCTCAATATATTCGTTTTGTAATTTGTAAGTTCAGAATGTACAGGATACTAGGAAATTGAATTTAATGGCTGCGGTGTTCGTTGTCATTCTATTTACAACCAATAAAGGTAAATTTTATCATTGTACATAGCTACTGCAATATTATATAGATAACTTGATCTCTTTGAACATATATATGCTTTACAATAAATAAACAGAAAGCGAAAATTTTCATAACGATTGACGTCAAACCTTGTTATGAAAATATCAAGCACAGTAATTGGGTTTTGTTATTATTAAAATGAAAGTATTCTATATCTAAAATTGATGTCAAATTTAATATTTAGAAATAAATGCAATACATCCCGCCACCATGATGCAACGTATCACAAGGATTGTAATACTTTACACTTTATATGATTCCAAGAAAAAAGAAATAGTTGTGATTGTGAAAATGAAAAAAATGAATTATTGCAATAAAAGAGCCTCAATCGTCATTCACGTCCATTTGGATAAAAAACCGTGCTTGAAAAAGTTCGAGAGAAGTGTAATTAAAAAAACGGAGGTAAAATTCGTGTATGGAGATTAATATTTTGATTAAACAATCTTTTCAAAACGTGGAAATTCAAGCGAACAACTAACTAACCTATTTTTGAAGTGAATAATTAAATAAATCAAACAAGAATACTTGAAAATACAAAGCTAATGAACAAGATTATATAATTTTAATTTACCCCCAACATAATGTGATCACGAGGCAAATTACCTGAGTTCTCTATTCATTCATATTTACCAGGAATTCCTATTTGCAATATAGTTTTACGAACTAGTTGCCATCAACATTTGAAGATGGTGTCACAATCGGTCGTGATTGAAGACAAACAGAAAGAGGTATCCTGCGACGTCAAATTGCCGCTTCCCGGCGAAAACATCACGGAGAACGACGACAATGTATGTTGGCAAATCTCGTATATACTCCTAACTCTAAAGTATAACAATAAATTTAAACTATTAGCTAAACTAGCAAAAATACATTTCTTTTAAAGATCATGTACCCAAACACACAAATGTCTGGGTAACCAACTGATATCTGACCTAATTATTTATACCTAACGATGTTCACCAATGGACACACTTGACTAATTGGGCAGATTTCAAATTCTAAACGTGAATTGCTGCTTTGTTGATCATCATGGCCTCATAAAATTTCAACAAATTTGTGAAAACGTATAAGTTTTGTGAAATTGTGAAAAACTGCAAATTCATTACTTTATCAATATTAATGATAACAACAGGCCTAAAAAAACAGCCACAAGCTATTATACTTTCAGGTACCTGATACAACGGCAGAAAAATCAAATGGGGGGTTGAAACGTGTCTTTTGGGATACATTGGGCCCAGCTATTATACTGGCCTTGATTATTGTTGTTGCCATACTTTCTGTACGAATATATGAAATGGATAAAGTGATTGATGCAATAAAACACCCCAATGAAATTGAGCTGAAACCTAGAAAAATGGTGAGTTTTTGTTTACAAAATATTTTACTCACATAATGAATTCAATCAAGTTTAATTATACAATCTTTTCCCAGCTATGATCGACTAATGAGGACATTGATAAGGCGACTAATATAAGTAAAAGTATTACCAAAAAAGGCGGACATCATATCTGTCGTTCTTCCATTTTCTATGGTGTAGATGAATAATGTTTGTTTTACTTTGATAGAAATGTTTCAATGTAAAGTTTGAATGCCTGAACCATAAAATAGTATTTAGTTAACTCTCATAGCAATTTGTACCACATTGACCAAGTCAGAATATAACTGTGATTCATTAAGGTTTCTGTTCACTCTTAGAAAATAGGATTTTGTTTGTTAAATTGGCATGTAATAGTAACATAATTCACACTGTTTTGAAACTTTTCTAATTTTCCCAGAAAATTGTAAAATTCCCTGACATCGGTGATCAAAAATGATTCTTTTAACGAAATATTTGTCAAGAAGATGTGTGCAAACCAGAATGGGACCGGTATATATTTACTGCCAATAACTGTTATATTCACCAAATTTCAACGATTTCATTATATTTAGATTGATCATGACAAAACCATTGACCTGACTGCGGATCTCGACAATGATGCTCACGAAAAATTGAGATCGGTAAGAAATGATTCATAGAAAAATTGAGAAGAATATAAATGATTGCGTTTAAATTTTGCAAATAATCGTATATACGGTACTATTAAAATAAAACTATCTATAAGGTTGAACAACGAACAATTCAAAAAGACGATTTTATGATTTGAAATTATGATCGAACTAAGATTTAAGTGCTACATAACATTTGCTATTTTATTGTTCATACATTCCATACCTAAAAACTTCGATACCTTAATATGCAATGTTCTAACTGGATGTTAATATATGATGTTCTCTCTATAGATGGAAAAAGAATATGGAAGAGAGAACTGGAAAAGCCATTGTAGGACCTATATACGCTTCGAAAAGCCCTCCTTTCGGTACGATCGAAATGATTTCAAAGAGAGGTATTAATGCACACAAACGGACTTGAATGAGAGAACTGAAAACGTCATGCCTTTCCAGACTGGATAAACATTTCTTATTTTAAGTATTATAACATACCTTGTCATCATTCATTTTCTGTAAATAGACACTTTGCGTCTTTATCTTTATTGCTCTGGAATGTGTTTCACGACATATACTATTTACGCAGTCTTCTAACAAACAGAACAATTTAAGATTTAATTGACTCAGATCTAGTTTATATAACCCTTTTTGCTTTTCGTCAAAACAGCATGCTGTTGTCATATTTTATCTGTACAAAGTAATTTGCCTTGCAGAATCGTGCAGTCTAAGGTTGTTGCTTCCATGTTCTTCACTATTTTATTGTGGGTTGCATTTGTCAAAGATTTTCCAATATTTCTAGCACAAATTATAATTTCGTGAAGCGTAGAATTCAATCGGCATGTTTCTCTTTTTGATCACATTTTGCCCTGCATTTTACTTCTTTGTATAATGCTTACACAATGAAAGATTCAGTAAAGTAAACAATTGATTGGTCCGTTTCTCTATCACAAATATCTAAGACTGACAACTAAAACACATGGGGCTAAGGCTACCGAAATTTGCCAGGAAATGGATTGTAGGGAATTTTACTTCGCTTGTGAATACTTTAAGCAGAAACAAATGTTTAGCAAAAGCTTTTTCCTGGAAAGAAGGTCAACCCAAATCAAACTGATAGGTGCTCGACGGCAGTCAAATACAGCGGCTCATAACCTTCATGATATAAAGTCAGAAAAAAAAACCTTATAATATTTGTAAATACTTCATTACTAACTTAACATGATAAAAATATGATGGGAAAACTTGACATATTTTGTTTACCAATGTGTGAAAGGATGGGGTGGAATGATGAGATATGGGCTAATGCATCAAGGATCTCGATACTGACCGTTTTTATGCTAATTGGTACATGATTGTTTGCAAGCATGCTCTAATAACTTATATCAAAATCAAAATGTGTACTCTACTCAAAAAAAAAAAAAATGATGCACACAGACAACATGAATAGGAAGGTTATGCAAAACAGTCATGCTTGGAAAAACTTAAAATGGCGTCTTTACAAGATAATCAGCTGTTTCAGATAAATTATAATACTCGTCTAAAGTTTTCTTGTAGAAGTTCTATATTCGAGCAATTTACTGCTTCAGTGTGAAATAATAGAAAGTTATCTATCTCCTTTGGGATGGCGATACGACTCCCGCGTTATTTTTCCTATGCTGTTTATGCAAGCAATAAAAGTGAGTTAACAAAATACTCAGTTTTACTCAACTATATATCAATTATTCAATTCAAATCCTTTATTACCCCAGACTGCTGTGGTCCATATAAAAATAACACAAACAAATAAACATAAGCAAATACAAAAATCGAAGTTTGGAAATTGAGATTATATTTATCTTAATTGAAGCTTATGTCGGTCATGTTATCCCTAAAAATCTTCACAATAAAAACTTGTTTTTTTTCTTGTCAAGAAGTAGTAAATTGGTATTCTAGGAATCGCAAATTCTGGTATTAGATGCAAACATAGACCATGGAACAACTGTACAATATTATTTGGTGATTGCAGTTTGAAATAGGACTTTAACGATAAAGAATTTATCTCAATGACTTTGAGCAACTTGCCCACCAGGCAGCCAGATATGTAGACTCATCAGTATACACTACAGACTAGTAAGTAGTCCTACGTTTAGCCCTTGAAGTTGTGAACGACATCAGTGGTGCAGTGACACGGATCTTCTAATACAGTGGTTCCCAATCTTTTATGGCTCGTGGCCCCCTTCCGGTGGCTTCTCGCACTCGTGGCCCGCCTGTTCGGCATTCCAAAAAACTATACGTGTTTGATTTTATTATGTTTTTACGGCCTTTTATGGAATGCAAAAAACAAATCATAGACAAAAAAGGGTCAAAGCTTTTTAGTATACAATCAGTGGAAATCTTGCGCTTGGGACTGTCTGGCGAGGTTTCTTATATTAGGCACCGTCTTTGATACAGCCTTACGAATGTCACATCAAGACGGTTTCTAGATTTTGTTTCATCCGACAGAACCCTGATTTGTTGTTTTCTTGTCGAATGTTACTCGCGTGGCGACCAAAAAACTGATGTAAACGTCTTTCACCTGGGAATGATTTTTGTCACGGTGGTTTTGGAGTTTAGATAGACGTAATGATTCATTGCTCATTACATATGAGCAATGCAGGTATTGCGCACATTCTCTCTCGTCTCGATTTATTTCGGTAAAGCCAACGTAACTGCCGTTCCATTTTCGTATTTTGGGCAATAGGAATGTACAAATGAGTTTTTGCGTCTATAATACAATACTAAAGTTTATCTCACAGTCTAGTGAAACCGCCCGTCTGCAGGTTAGACGGCCTGCCAGCGAACTATTTTGATTGGTAGACTTTGAATTCCATAATGATCAAACAATTTACGCACAGAATACAAACCGTGATTGCAAATAACTTATTCAGGTAATGAAACTGCGGTGAAAGCCTGAACGGGGAATTTTAATTCAAAAGAAAAGTGTGCAAACGGAGTCGTTTTTAGATCAATTATTAGCCCTATATCGGGGCTCCCCTTAACCTGCTTCGTGGCCCTTGAGGGACTGAAAATTTCAAAGCAATTGGTCCAGTGTTAATGTGAAAAACGAAAAGAAGAGGAATAAGCAGAAAAAGAAAAAGAAAATAAATACTAACATGATGATCAACAACCACAAAATAGCAAGACAATCCATAGGCCCACTTCGTGTTCAATAAGAGCCTTTTACCGGCATTGATACCCTTAAAACAAAACGATCAATAGATCCATTTCGCGTACAATAATAATAATAATATTGTATCTATCAATTTTCAGATATCTCATAAAATTATCAGGATTCGCATCTCGACCCTAAAGCACCCACTGCAGTTGGGGCTGTACTGTCATAGATGTGGCGTAACTTTGAATATGCTCAGTATTGAGGGCGGGCCCAAAAAAAGGTATGTCTAGCTACCAATATTCATAAAACCGGACGTACTATATTATATTACAATTTTTCACTGAATGATTCGTGTTATGAGTCCCTCAACTCATCGAGATGATATAGTCAATTTTTATAATATGCTCTGCGTGTATTACTATCAATGTCAGAAAACGAAAATTGTTTATGAAATTTTTAATATTTCTAAATGAGAGTATTGCATGCCCACAATTTACGTAAAATTTAATATCAAAGTCATAATTGAATTATTTACGCCACCATTATGCAACATGTGCAATATTGGTTTCTGTTCATGTTCGTTCAACCCGGGAATTTGGTAGAAACAAATATAGAATTTTGCAGTTTTCCATTTCATTGCTCTCAATAAATATAACTTTCGTGCCTGGCAAAATTACTGACCTAAATAAAAAGAAGAAAAAGAAATGAGAATTCTGCAATAAATTAGTTTTTCAATCGTCGTTCGTATCCAGTTTAGTCAAAACCGTGTTAGGATCCCAGATCGAAATAGCATAAAAGGAAGCAACTTTTTTAAAAGGTAAAGTTTCGACGGTAACGAAAAGTAAAATTGAAGAATATACACAAGGTTGATTGTTACATTTGGCTAACTTGTGTTTTGAAGCTTGCGTTGTGTTTTGGGTGTAACGTCACTAATCTATGTATGCAACAAAGTAAAAATTTGTAGTTTCTAAAATCATATACTTTTCTCGCAATCGATTTCGTTTACGCATAAGAATACACATGCTTATAGGTATGAATCTTTAGAGTGGTCATATGCCGTGTATGTTACATACGACACACGTTGTATTTCATCTTGCTTATAGGTATTAGAAACTAATCGCGATTCCATCAACATAAGATGGTGTCACAGTCGGTCGTTATTGACGATGAGAGGAAGGAAACTGCCTGTGACGTTGAAGTGTCTCTACCTGGTGAAAAGGTTGTAGATATTGATGACGATGTTAGTTTGTATATATCTTACCTTTGTCTCCATTAAAATAAGAAACATTGAGAGAGGAAAATACTATATACGTTAAAAAACAATACATAGTTTAACATGAGCCTTTATAGGCGAAAACGAAATCTTTCAGTGAAGACCATGTAGTAAGTTATACAAACTCGCAAATCTCTAGGATTCACATATTTATCTCGGGCGAGAGGACCGATAAGACGACCCTAAAGCACCTACTGATCGTATGGGGAACCACGGCCTCTCGTTCGGTTACCAGTCCATGTCGGGTACGGGATTAGTTACCCAGTCATTTGTTTCAGATGCATGGACTAGATGGCAGAGGAAGCCGTAACCGACCAACGGTTACATAAACCATCCTACGACAAAATTATTCCCTTCCAAATAATGTCGAGCCAAACATCTCTACATTGTCTACACATACAAGTGCATCTTAAATGGGATTTTGAAGCTTTAATTATAAAGTTTGTAGGCAAATAAATAGGTATTCCTGAAGTATGCGTACCAAGGTAGCGGACACCGGAACGTAGTATGTGTACCAGATTAGGGTTAGGCCATAATTTTAGGTACAGATACCACGGGAGTCACTTGGCTAGTCCCCGAACTCGAAATAGAACTAAAATAAGGAAAATTTCACACATAACCTGGTACACATACTACGTGACGGTGTCCGCCATCTTGGTTACGCATACTTCAGGAGCGCCGAATGATGTACGTATATATGTCTTTTAGAATACTTCCGAGACTCACTATGTAATAAATACGTCCTTTAACGGCAAATTTGTTACGTTACTAGTATTGAAAGTAACAACAACAGAAAGCGTTTCAACAACACAGGCCTACTCTCATTACAGAATTCTCCTGATGTAGCAGAAGAAAAGAATAAAGGATGTAAACGTGCGATATGGGATACATTATTCCCTGCCATCATTTTGCTGTTAATTATCGTTGTTGCAATACTTTTTGTAAGAATTCAAGAAATGAATAAGGAAATTACCGCATTGACGAACCCGAACGAAATAGAGCTGAAACCTAGCAAAATGGTAAGCGTTTAGTTGATGAAAATTTGTTAAATAAAAATTTAACTAAAGATACAATCAGCTAATTTTCTAATAGAAACCCCAAAAGGTCTATTTTACAAACAATGTCCCAGTAGTTAAAACGTCTAACCTAACTACGTTGTCGTCCGAGTTAAAATCTATGGTTCAAACTACAGTACATGTCCACAACGTCAACCGGGGTGTAATTGCAATGCCGAGTCGATAAGATTCCTGTCCTCCCCAAAATGACTGCACAATGGCTGGTTCTATAGAGCGTTGTGTGGAGTAGAGGCGTGAGCATTATAAACAAAAGAATAAAAAGAATGTTATTATATTCATTATTTTCCAGTTATTGTTTTTTTAGGCTGATCATGACAAGACCATTGATCTGACTGCCGATGTTGACGATGACTCTCACGAAAAATTGAGACGGGTAAGAGTTGGTTTGTGTAACAAGAGAGCTGTGCTCAAATATATGGACACGTCACAAGGTGTCGCTATTTTTTATTCTGACACATAAAAAACGAATCTCTTGAAGTTCACAGAAATTTTTGAAATAAGTAAATAATAATAAGTAATAGCCTTCTGGCAAAAAAATCAATCTTTAACCACTGAAAATTTCAAAGCAATTAGTCCAGTATTCGAAGAGAAAAGCGATTTCATCATGACGAAAGAGATGAAGACAAGAACAACAACATAATACTCAAACGATCGTTATGTACACTGACGTGTCCAATAATTCGTTAGTGGTATAGTTAGTATTAATTGTCAACTCAACCCCTATAAAATGACCAAAACATGTTATTTTTATAGATGGAAGACGAATATGGAAGCAATATGTGGTACGGGCACATCAAGGCGTATATTCGCTTCGATAAGCCCTACAACATTCCTGAAGAGTCTGCATATTTCAGAAAGTGGTATTGATACTGATAAATGGGACATTAAAACAACAAAAAAACTTAAAACATAATCATGAGTGACCGCTTGAAGTTTAATAAATATTCATTGACTTACGCAGTATACTACAGCAGTCCCTCCTTTTTCAAATATTAAATATATACCTATGCTATAGGTATATCCTCAGTTATATGTTTATTGCTTTATTCGCTTGGCAGCAACGATAGTATTTACGCTCGCTACAACTGGAAAAAAAAATTGACTCACATTTTGTTATTGTATTATTAGAGTTTTACTTAAAATTTCTGTATATTTAATACTTGTTTATTGTTGACACATGTTGGCACATTAAGTAGATGCAATGTTTAGTGTTATCTACGATTATAACCCTGGGAAGATACAGAGTAGCATTTGAAAGTAAAATCAGAAGTTTCATTGTTGTATAAATTATGAATTGGTCGATTTAAAAAAACAATGTATTCTGTTGTCCCTTTTCATGTGCTATCTGTACATACACCATGCCATTTTATCATTTACAAAGTGTAATACTGTTCCGCAATGCCGTCTCGCTCTACTTTTTCTCGTTTTTGTTCTGAGTATTGGTATGACGTCATAAGACATAACTAAGCGAGGCATGGCAGAAAATAGGTTGTCATCTTAAGTTCACCTTTCTCTTGTTTTCGCTCTGTATTTACCCACAGTGTGTTGTCAATTTAGTATTGCCTGCCTAAGCTGAGATTCGGTGAAATGTAAAATGCCACATTCCATTGTTTTGCCCTATATAGGGCTTATTATTTGCAAGCTGTATAAACGTCATAAGATGGTACGTATGTGCAATGTTCAGTTATTATTAATATAGCCAATTGAAAATTTCCTAATGACTGATCGTTATGATTTTATCATGACTGGTCATATTTCTAGGTACCATTTTAACTTTTCAAATTAATAGAAGAAATTTTGGAAATTAACTGTTTTTTTCGGCTCCCACCCGCTTAGGTTAAAGTAATTCGGCCTCAAATGAAGGAAGCACAATTCCATATTCAACTGTGCATGTGTAACATATTTTCTTGGAATGGGTTACCATATGTGACTAATTTTACTTTGTAATTAAAGTTTAAGAACATTTATCTTATTTTACATATTACTTCAAAAGTGAAAGAACTATCATAATTTAGACAGACAAAATATTCATCACTTAATAGAATTTTATTTTAAAAATAGACATAATTCACTAGCTAATTGGCAAAGTAGTGTTCTAATTGGCAAAGTATATTTTACTTGTGAATAAAAATATAACAAAGTAACATTTTTGTTTTTCATTCCTTGTTGGGATATCAAATTTGAAAAAGTTAGTGTAATTATGGTTTTAATTTTGTTAAGTTTGTGGCACGACGGAAAAATAAATTGTCAGTTTTTGTCCACATTATATATTTGCAGACCCCTGACAAAAATCTATAGTCATGGTTATTAAATTACAATGAAATTTAAGAAGCCTTTTTATGGTCGGTCTGAAGTAGCCTTTACCAAGAATCAACTCGCTCCATGAAACTCATAAAAATTAAAAGCATTCGGAAAGCAAGCGGAAAAATACCGTCACCACAAACACATTAGGCCTGGGTTATGTGTTTGTTGGTTGTTAAGGAAACGGGATAAACATTGACCCTTTAGGATCCTATGTTCTTCCGATAATGCTGCAAAATCACAGGTTTCCCTGTGATAAAAATAACTATAGGGTTAATTTTGTGTCTCGTGATCCAACGATCGTGACTGCATGGTAAGCGATCACGGATAAAGAAAATACTATTTACGTACTTTGAATGAATAGGTTTTTAGACACAAGAAGAATACTAACGACAAAAGGCTCAATTCGAAATCGTAAAAAATTTGCTTTGATGAACTATGGATGACAGTTTACTTAAGTTTATTTCGGGTTGAAATAGGATTTACCTTTGGCGTCGACGAAAGAATAAATTTCCGTCTAAAAAGTTATTAAATGTAACATTTTAGATGGGGATGTTTCATAGAATTGAATTAGTTACATTTGCAACTCACCAGAGACAACAGGGCGCAAAGCGAAGCGGGAATGAATTATGTCTGTATTGGGTAGTTTTTGAAATTGTTTAATAGGTAAAAAAATAAGGAACAAAAATGGCACTCCAGAAGTATGTGTACCAATATGGAGGTAACTAATTTTGTTTGCCTATACTTTCTATCAAGCTGTGTAAAGGGACGGAAACGTATAGGCAGGGTTATATTCACTTGGATAACACAAACATTCCCCGTAATAGAACTAAAATAAGCAAACTCACAATAAAATTATGCGCTAACTCTAATTTGGTACACATACTATGGGAGTACCACAAAAATACTGAACTTTTTCAGAATTTATTTTAAGTCGAAGTGAAAGTATTTCGTAGATAAAACGGTCAACAGTTGGGGTATGCATTCATTTTTAATTGATAATTAATTGATAATTTTTTTCTTATTCAAAGTTTCTTCTTTAGGCATAACGTAGATATCTAAGAAATGGTTGTCCACGCTTCAGGCACAGAGAAAGCTATGCCACTCCCAACGGCAGGGAAATATCCGGACGGTGAGGTGAGTTCTAACGAATACCAGTAGGTTTTCAGATCGTTTAAAAGTTGTTTTGCTGATAAAAGTCGAAGATTTTATATCAATATTTTTCGAAAATTTCGTGAAACAATGCACCTGTTCGATAATTTTGATAAGATTTATGGTGTCTGCTATCTTCATAATTTATTTTATTAAGCCGCTATATTACGCTATTTTACTTGGAATCGTGCGAACAAAATATTAAATTTACATCAACTATATTGTTTTGACATTTGTACATCTAATGAACCATGGAATGACGCACATAGGCTAGTTTTCTGTGGATAAAACTGGCGTAAAATGCAAGTAATTCTTCCATTGATGAAAATATTTTTTATAAATTTTGTGCGAAATAATAGACATAATGAATCACGAGGAGGTATTAACACGCAAGCCCTTTTAAGCTGAAAGTTATGAAGGAATTATAACAATTTTTGAGCCAAAATCGTACATTCTCTACACGGAATTGACAATTGATCCTGCACTTTGTGTGTATCGGATAAGTGAGAATATATCATGCACTTTGTGATCTACGCAATGGATGTTGAAAATATTTCTGATTAATTGCGGCCTCTCATATTACAATTGTTACACCGTTAATTTATTAGTCATTCTTACGGAAATAAACAAAAAATCGATGATCGGGGAAATATCCATTGTGGTACATGCTGTCGTTCGTTCCGAGACCTCATTAGAGTTATTGTCTCGTCCCTTTTGGCATAATATTGCAATTATCTGCTTATTTGAGGTGTCTAGTGGATGAGATTATTTAAGCCTTTATACTTTAAATAACTACTTGCTCTGTTTTGCAGAAGTATCAACCTTCGGCTCCGTCACTTCCACCCCTCCCGCCTTATTCAACGGTGGTGCCAGTCAAAACAAGAAAACCACGAAAATGCTGCATGGTATCCAGCATCGTTTGCAACTTGCTCTTGTTGGCAGTTGTTATTATTCTGGGCATCATGATGATTACACACGTTAAGCGAAGTAAATGCGCCAACGAAGTCCACAGAGCTACCCAGAGATTGAACCAAAAAAACTATGTCTACCAGGTATGTTATTATGTACAATTCACGATTTTTACTTGTTATATTGTTTTGATCACATAAAGTCTTTTTTTGTTTGATTGACAGATTGATGGATGCAAGGTGAAGAACATTAGGAAAATGAGAAAATTTCAGGTTAGGATAACATGATTGGATTGTGCTGGTCACTGATTATTTCATTTATGATTTACTTTTTTCTGCTGAAAAACTCTACCCGTTGTGTTCTGGCTTGTATATGTTAGTAGTTACATACATTCGAAGTGAAGAATATTTGTACAAGGGTCGCTTTTCACATTTTCGCAGATGCATAGTTTATCATCATATATGTGTAGTTAGTTGCTCAAGGCCCGCATTGCCACATGGAAATGTTTTATCCGTACGAATGTACGTAGATTAAAAACTAAAAACTATGGTATACGAGTATAAGTAGAAAAACCTTTGTGTAAATATACATTTGGAAAAACATGTGTCTGTTCTATGCGACACGAAATTGTCTTTACCCGACTAAACGAACATCATTAAACTTACCGGTGAACTATAGCAGTCCATAATGTTAATTCATAGCAAGGTTCGCAAACTCCAGATGAAAAAATTCGTACAAAAATTATTCGTATTTCTCATTAGGCCTACTGTGCCAAACTGATATTATATTCTTATCAATAAGGTTTATTATACAGCAAACTAGGAAACGAAAAATCACGAAAATAAATTAAAAATTCTAGTCGATAATGCTAATTAATAAAGCAAGGTATGCAAACTCCCGATGAAAATAATCGTACAAAATTTCTAATTACTAGACCAAATAGAAATGATATTTGTCCTAATAAGGTTTATTATACTACAGATTAGGAAACTCGCGAAAAAAAATTGGAAAAAAAAAATGATATTATTATTATTAGCAGATAATTGACTACATATTGGAAGATATCGACGATGATGACGATGAAGAGAAAAAGACGTTTTACGATGACGACAGAGTCAAAAGTCCAAGAGGTGGAGAAAGTCCCAGAAAGGGAAGAAGCGGAGGATTAGGATAGTAATAAAAATATTTGTAATAGTGTCTTTATCGATTTAATTGTACAGATCTTTGTGGAGAGTATTGTAAATTTGTTGAATAAAATACTAAGAACAGATTTCCACAATGTTATACAAACTATTTTAATATTATAATTCAAACAAAGCAGTGCATGTTAAGAACATACAATTACGTGTCAAATCTTTGTAACAAAATCTGAATTATCCCATCCGTGCATTCCGAATGCATTCTGCATTTTCAATTTTTTTCTGAATTGGATGGCAGATGTTTGACGGATTATAAAAATGAAGTAAAAAAAGGGGGAAACGTGTTTGAGGGATCGTGTTGTATGTGATCTAAAACTCAGTGAAGTTTGCAACAGATGCAGTTCAGAGATACATTCTTCAGGGTAAACTTACGTTTCAAATAGCCTACGTCGTTTTCGAAGGTTTCTAATAGTAGGCAATAAGTACCGAAAACCATTCGTATACCTGGTTTGCGGAAAAGCAACATTATGGGTGCACTTCTCGAATTGAGAGACGATATGTGCAAGCAAGTACCGTTCAGATTATCAGTCTGAAAATTATGCTGAAAAGTAGACACCCATTTTCACTTTTCCATATATATAGTTAATGTAGACGGTTTAAAATTGTTTCACTTTTTAATCAGCCAAATTATTGATACTCCCGTGGTATGTGGACCAGGTTAGGGTTAGGTCATAATTTTATACCGACTTTCCTTATTTTAGTTCTCTTACGAGTTCGGTGACTGACTGTGTTAGCCAAGTGAATACACCTTCTGGCAATAGTAATTAGTCGCTGTACACAACTTATTATTAATGACGAATTATTAATGTTCCAAATAGTCCCGTCTCAATAGCAGAAAAATTAAATACGGTCGAATGAATGAAACTACCATCTAAACTTCTAAAGTAAACCCTAAAAAATAAAAATTTAATCCAAATGTCTCTCAAGCAGTATATAATGCTTTTATTCTTTGACAAAGACAATAAAATATTGACGACTTTATTCATTTATCTACATAACAGCAAATCTATAAAGTTCATTCATTTTGTAACTATTCAGGTATCTTTTTTAGGGTAGATCTGTTCACTTTGAAGATTGGAATGATAATTTTATTTATTAATGTTTTAATAATTAATAGGTATTATATTATAATTTATATTTATTTTGGCCATGTCTCCTCCCCTCTCGCAATCAGAAAGGGGTAATATGACCTCACATTTTCGGGTGCATATATGTAGAAATATTTAAAAAGTCTGGATTAGTTTACTGACTTCGTTACGTATTAGGTCTTATGTCTACGGGACAAGTCATCAACTATTCACATGGTTCAATTTGATCCCCCCCCCCCCCCCCCCCCCCCCCCTTTGCTGATATACAACGAAGCAAAACTTATCAAAAATAAAGTGAACTTCAACACGCTCAAGGTTGAGAGCAAAGATTTATTGGACTAGTATTGCTCATTTAGAGGATGGCTGAGACTATTTTACGGATTTTGCAAGCCGGGACCATATTAATTTGCCCAAGATCCAATTATGCATTTTCAGTATTGATGTTCATCACCTGCAGACAGAGTCAAAGTACTCACTTTTTTACATCTCTGAAGGTTTTGAATTCCAACACCGCTTACACTTCGTTTTTTGGCATGGGCGATAAATTTCAAAAGATAAATTATAGACTTCGGTAAAATATATATATGTGATACATTATCCGCATAAATATAGACCAAATAGAGTAAAAATACTGATAATCTGGTTAATACTAAATTGAAACCTACTGTTTTTTTATGATCTTCATGGTTGGGTATCGTTACTATTTTACAAGATTGAGATTGACTTTTCACGCCTCAGAAGTTGGATATAGTATCGTGGCAGCGTTGCGTGCGATCGCGGTTAAAAAAATTTTTGGCTTTGTTCGAATGAATGGACCTTTTGACACAAGAACAACAATAACGACTGAAGGCTTCATTGTAACTCTTTAAAAATTGACTCTGGCGAAGGTTTATTTCGAGCTTTGTTGAAAAAAGATTTGCTTTTGGGGCCTAGAAAAGAATAAATTTCCTTTTATCCAATTTCAGAGTGTCTTAGTTTTAAAAATTGATGTTCTTGATATTGAATTAGTGAGATGTGTAAGTCAGAAAGCGTACATAACGAAACGCCAATGATTCACTCTATAATGTGTACTGTTGAAGCTAATAAAAAAAATTGGACTAAAAAAATACCAAAATTTGTCTTCAAAAGTTGATTCCGAATATATCGCTTATAAGTGTAAAATCGAAACACATATTGGAATAATTGTTTAGTAGCTTGAACGGAAGATACATATGTGTGTGTGTGCAGTAGTGGCGAATTTAAACATTATATAAGAAGCGGTTTAGGTATAATATACAACCAAAGTTGAAATTGACTTAATAATGATGTTCACCTTCATAAATGATTTTATTTATCGAATCGTTTAGCAATGATAAAGTAAGGCAGCACTCCGTTGTCCGCCCCAATATCTTGTATTCAACAAATGGTTTGACAGTTAGGGTATGCATTCATTTTTATGCCTGGATAATTTACCGACTAATTTTTCTTCTAATTAAAAGTTTATTCTTTTGGCCTAAATTAGATGTAATAAAAAATGGTTGTCCACGCTTCAGGCGCAGAGAAAACTATGCCACTCCCAACAGCTGGAAAATATCCGGGCGGCGAGGTAAGTTGTAACGAATATTCGCCGGTTTCAAGATTTATTAAAATTTTGCTGTTTACTGAAAACTGTGTTGATTTAACAAAAAATGTATATCAATATCTGTTGAAAATGTCATAAAACAATATATCTGTTCGACAATTTTTCTATTAGATTTATGATGTATGCTATCTCTATAATTTCTTTTTAACTCGCTACAGTACGTTGCATTTTTTTTTATTTCGAATCGCGCGAACAAAACATTAAATTTTCATCAACTGTATTGTTTTGACATTTGTGTTGTCTATGCCCTGCGTCAAGATTGTTATACTTACTAATACTTTCATTATGACATTTTGTACATCTAATGAACCATTGAATGACGCACATAATAAGCTGTTTTTACAAATATACAGGCAAAGCAATAGCCTCGATCTAAATTACCAGAATATTTTTCATTGGTATTTTTTGAATACTTTTTACTTCTTGATACCTACTTGGAAAAGAATGTACTTTTGTGCAGTTTATGAATTTATTCTGGAGATATGATCCATTACTAGTATTACTTAACAACATTGGTTGTCTAATCCCTCTTAATATAATATTGTAGTTATCGGCTTCATAAAGTCACTCAATCTTTTATGCTCTAATAACTACCTGCAGTATTTTGCAGAAGTTTCAACCTTCAGCTCCGTCACTTCCATCCGCCCCGCCTTATTCAACGGTGGTTCCATGTAAAACAAGAAAACCACGTAAATGCTGCATGGTATCCAGCATTGTTTGCAACTTGCTCTTGTTGGCAGTTGTTATTATTCTGGGCATCGTGATGATTACACACGTTAAGCGAAGTAAATGCGCCAACAAAGTTTACAGAGATACACAGAGATATAATAAAGAAAACTATCTCTACCAGGTTCGAGATAACGTATTATATTTTGCAATAATATCTGTAATTCTTTACCATTTTCGTTGCATAAACTCTAGTTTTTGTGTGATTGACAGGTCATTGGATGTGATGTAATGAACACTATGAAAATGGAAGGACCGATTGATAGGGTAACATCTTCAATTTTTGGAATTGACTTTACAACAGTCGAAGTATGGGTCATTTGATGCTCATATAATGGCATACTCGCTGTATGTCACCGATTAAAAATGAAAGGTCCGATATTATAATGTACGTGCAACTACATGCAAATTGATAGATGGGATAATATATGAGGGAAAGAGATTGAAAGAATCGTATGTGTATGCCTTACGCGTACAAGAGTACTTAAGTCAGATTGTACGTAAAGAAAAATATAATGAATATTGAACCAACGCATACATTAGTTGATAAGGAAGCTAGTTTACTTGATTTGCTATTAAAAGCATTCGAAACACAAGAATCATACTGGTGCTACGGTTCTGAATTCTTCAAATTAATATATTGTTACCACTAGATGTTAGACGACATAAAAGAAAAACAGGAGGATGAAGATGACAAGCCTCTGGACTACGGAGGTAAAAGTCCAAAAGGCAGAAGACCAAAACACAGAGGAAGAAGAGGACCTTAAAGAAATACTGAGTGAAAGCGTAAACATTTGACCAACTATAGTACATATTGATTTTTATTATTAGTTAGAGTCAATCAGGAAGCATTAATCGATGATACAATAAAAATGAAAATAATTTATTGGTGTCCATTAAATGATTACTTATCGATCTTGATCGGTAAGTATGTTGATAGGTATTTGTCTGTCTGTTTGTCTGTTAGATACACGCGATATCTCACGAAAGCGAGGTTGAATCTGCTCCAAATTTTGCATGTGCTTTCATCATATCTCGGAACTTATTGATTTTGAATGAATTATGTCGTAATATTAGCAAGTTATTAATTGATTAGTGATTGGACACGTGGTGTCGCTACTGAGTCAGAGCGAAGGATACACGCCGCGAGATCGATACACGCCGCTGGATCGATAAGTCGGCGGTCTTTGATGGATGTCTCGTTTATTTTTTGAAAGATATAATTCATATTTACTTGGAATTTGGGCTAATTGTGTTTTTAACATTAACGGTTTCTTGATATTAAGCTTTTTGAAAAGAAGATGCCAATTTATTTTAACAAAGTATCAAAAAAGTAGCACAAGTTCTTACAAAATAGTGATTCGTATTTAAATTGGATTTTCAGAGAGATTCGAATTTGACACCATAATATACATAGTGACTGTATACTGCGCTTCAAATGTAATCCATTCAAAGATATGGCCTCGCATTTATTTATCGTAAGCGGGAAGGATAAGTAATACCAAAGTAGCAGTTAGGACATTCGTTTTTGAAGCGATATTGCGCCCGTTCTGGTCTAAATTAAACGGTGGCTGCCAATCTTAGATTTACAATGACAGACGATATTCTTGCAGGTGAGTTCGCCAACAAGTCTAATGCATTGCCGTTTTAATATAAATTAATATTATCCATTAGATACCTTTATTTTGAACCATCACACACACTACCACGGTAGACAAGTGAGAAAAAAACACCCTCTCTACTACAAGAGTGCTTAAAAACAGATTTTCTCGAATAAAAAGATAATGAATTTTGGGGAAACACATGATATTATCTTGGTGGTCGTAGTGGTTCTCTTCTTTATATGTAGGATGCGAGAGATCATATGTTATCCCGTTTGGTACCTGCTGTGTACGAATATTTTCTGTAGTGAATATATATGAAGAATGTCCTTCCGTTACATTATCCGTTGCCTATCTTAACATACAATAGATATAGCCAATCGCTGACCACAGTTGCGAACTCACGACCTTTTCAGCCGTATCGACTGCTACTTCAAGATGTCAATAAATCCCGGAATAGGGTCTCATTACCTTCACCTAGCGGCGAAGAGAGAAAAAATATGTTACACTGTGACTATTTTTTTACAATTCAATCCGGTTATGTGAATTTATACTTAAAATATGTGAATGTAAATTTGTTTGTGTTGAAATATTCAAAAAATCAGAGGTACTTTACAGATTCTGTTAAATTCTGTTAAGTATGGCTCCTATATTTACAGGACACTTAAATATTCATATGGTTCTAAAATCAATTTAACTGTAGAAAAAACATATCAAAAAATATATTGAACTTGATTGTCGTGAATGTTGGGAGCTAAGATTTATTCGACTATTGCGAGACAAACGGTGCGAACCGGTTTGCTTCGATTTTTATTCCGAATTTAGCAAGCCGCGATCATATAAAATTACAAAAGATCCGACTCCACAGGCCTGGTGGTAAGGTTCATCCCCTATAATAGCAAGATCCAATTTCATCTCTTCCTACTTCCTTACACCTCGGGCGTTGTCATAAAGGAAAGGAAATTGACCTTCTGAAATTGTGGTCTGAAGGTAATCACCGTAAACAATCCGTTCCCTTGGTATAACGAATGAATTCTGAAAAATAAATAAACCAGTTTGGTGAAGATATATGACTTTGATAGAACATGTTTGACCCGTACATATATCGACCAAATGAATGAAATAATGATATTCTGGTTAGACTAAGAAAATACCGTTTTATGAGTTTTATGGTTGGATATCGTTAAAAATTTATTTGCGAATGAGATTGAATTTTCAGAGGCTGATAGGTAAAGATTGAATTAATGTAATTACAATTTCTCCTGATACGTTCAGAGTTTAAACACTACCGAAAATGCTAATAGTTCAGTGACATGTCATAAGTCCATAATAACAGATATCCCTGAATGACTTATTTTGTACATTATTTTGATGAAAGATCATTTCACCAAACCGAGTGCTAATTTTCTGATGGTATACTTTAACTTTTTGACCTTTTTAAAATTACAAAAATTATATTTTACTTCAATAGTTGACTAGTTATTCAGAAGCAAATCACAGAATTACGAGTAATTTACGATAGCCTCTTGTTTTGTTGGAATAGTTAAGTTGACGGAGGACTGATTGTTTTGCGTGGTATCCCCGAGGAGAACGAAAACGAGAGTAAGGGTATGGGAAGGCACTTGGTATTTCCCCCTTCTATAAAGCTATAATCTATGAGCATATATATACTCTACGGATATACGAAAATTAGTCAGTTATTACATTAGCTCCAAGAAGCTGCATGGAAGCGTGTCAAGGCTCTTTATTTGTAGGGACCTGTTTGAAAATACGTCAAAATCCGGTTAAGCGCTTGATTAAAATTCCACCCACCTGATTAGCAAACAATGATTTGTGGTAGGTGGTGAGTCACGTTGTAGCCAATTAGTTCACTATAACGTGACTTTGTCAAAACGCTTTGTCACGATAATATATCGAAATTATATAATGCGCATTAGTCAGATGCAGAAGTTCCGCATTGGTTCCTCGTTTAATGCAAAATATATAGGCCAGGTACGTCGTTATGTATCATTTATTTCATGCATTGTTAATTAATGAATTCAACATTCGTGTGATTGTGTTAGTCAATGTGCGTCAATTTCTACTTAACTGGGAACCAATCCCATGCTAATCCCATACGTGGGAAGCATTACTTGCATCATATTTTAAAATTGAATACGACCACTCTTGACATATACATACACCGTACTTCTGAAAGGTATTTATTCTATAGCCGCGCGTGATTGATAGTAATACGCCTCAATTCATTAAATAATAAAAACACTGCGTTATGTGTCCACAAAGTTCACCTGGACACGGAAGTATTACTAAGCAGTTCATAAAATACAGATCCAATCCACATATTATAAATCAGGTATATAATGATGCTTATATTCATTTTGATAACAGGTGTTACTGATCACAGTACTTTAGTAGTGTTCTGTTGCTGTATTTGTTTTCGAACGCTTTTAAAATTACATATATACTTACTATTTAGAACGTTAATATCCATAACGATTGAGTAGCAACAGTATAGCAACTAGTTAGCCATCATGGTTGTCAATACAGCAAAACATACAAAGGGTAGAGGCAAAAACACTCATTTGCCGGTGAGTTTAGAAAATTGTATATCGGTAATCAGGAACATTTGTAATCAACTAATACTATAGTTTATAAGTTATTTTATCCGAAGCTAATGAAACGTGGGAAAATTCAGTTTTAGATGAATGGAATATGTATATAACGTGTATCGATTGTCTACCTAAGAAATCACTTTGCAAATATCTCTTTCGGACTGTGTAAGACTATGACAAGTATTCACATTTTTTAATTTTGATTTGACAATTTTGGCAGATTTAAGCACGTTCACATTTTAAATTAGTCATCGTTTTTTAACCTTCATTTAAATAATTCATTTTTTACAGCTGGAAAAATCTGACGCGGAATACAGCGGATACCGCGATAGGCCAAGAAGAAAATGTGGCATTGTGACAAGCCTTGTATTCAATCTGATGATGTTTGGTATGCTCATTGGTGCCGGCGTGTATTTGTGCCGTTACAGACGAGAGATATGCCGTCTGAAAATTGATCATGGAATCACAATAGCTCAAATGATAGGAGTCGAGTATGAGGTACGATATTGTAACTACGACTTAACTCTTTGAACTCTGACGGCTCTGAGCGAAGTTACTCGCTCACCCTGAAGGTTCGCGGCGCCGTATTGGTAGAACAATAAAATAAGTCTAAATACTGGCTATTTGGCACGCTTGTAACTTTTTACCAATTATAGGTAGCACGTTGTGAGACATTTCAATCGAAAGGAAATTTTATCGTGCATTCAGAATGTATTTTCCATTTTGAAATACATTTTGTCAAAATTAATAAAATTGACCCTAATCTAACAGTCATTTTTCTGCATGTATGTGAGTTTTGGCTTGAAATTTTGTTAGTTTGGTACAAAATATACTGCCAATATTTGATGTTCATAAAGAGTTTTTTATAAGCTTTTTGTTGATATTCGAATTACTATTGTGGCTGCCATATAACCAATTTTATATTTAAATATTTAATTGTGTATCATTGTGTCGGGTGAACAACATCGATAAGCGGCCATGACGCACTGATTACGCAGCTACGCAAAAGCCGATCACGTGACTACCGTCATGAAGATGTTGATAAGTACGTTCGAAACGTATTGCGTGGCAAAATGCGCAAGATAACTTTCACGACGACGTTCTCAGCGGAACATCGGTCGCCGAGTTTCGATATGATATTAACCCTGTAGGGATTGAAGTACCGACGTCGAGTAATGCGTGCAGTAATAGCGAAGTGAAGTTAATATCGTCATATAAAATTTCACGTGGAAAATGTTTTATTCGCCCATGAGTATTTGTTCAAATATCAACCAAAATAAGTACTTGCCTGCTCTGCAGATCAAAATATCTGATTTTACGGATGTTAGGCGAAGCAAGTGGATGGAATAATATCTGAGAGCACTAATAATGCAGAAAGAGCAACTCTTATTCCAACAAGATCATATGCGTCGCCAGAACTAGATACCCTACCGCAAAACGCCAGTTCTAATAATAGATGCGTCGTATGCAGCAAAATTTACATTATTGCCAAAAAACCAATCCAGCTGCTAAAGACAAAGCGTTGCTGAAACGATGCGAGACAGTATATAAGTACAAATACTGTAATGAGTACCTATGTATAGGTAACGAAACCAACAACCATTGGTATAACTGGCACAACAAAGTGCAATATTGGATTTAGTCTGCCTAATATTTTCATGTTCTTCATTGTTCCGGGCACAACGAAGTGCAATATTCAATTTAAAATTTTTAGCAAGCAGTCTTTTATGTACATACATTTTTCATGGTCTTTATTGTTCCGTTATCCGCTAATAAAATCACAATCTTGTTCATATTGCGTATACGTAACCACAACTTAATGGGGCTTGAGCGGGCAGTCAAAGTCAAAGCGTAGTGCGAATTTTGAATGCGTAGCATCGGGTTAATTAATTACTTCCTGCGGACATTTAAATAATAACATCTCGACGTAACGTTATTGCGGATATCGTCACGTTTAGTTGCATTTGCGTAATATGCGTAAAGTTGTGCGTGACGAGACGTTGCCTCTCTTCAATGAGAACATCAATTTGACGCAGCGTCGCTGTTAAATCTACAGATAATCTAATATATTTGGTCATAAAATTTGAATGGCTCATCGTAAAATCGTTTTGGATACGTATATAAAAAGCTATTCAAATTCTCCACATATATTGCCGATTGAATATGTGGCTATTTAGGCAAGAAGTCGAAATTCTTTATATTAAATATTTGTTATCATACAATAATTTCATACGCACTTTCAAATTGCCAAATTTTACTGAAACATCGTATATTAGAGCACCGATCATCACAATATAATTAGTCCCAATAACAAGCTTTCATGCAATATAAAATTTATTTAAATACTCATTGTGGTTCTTGAGATACGAGATCATAAAGTTGATTCCCTCCGACACGAAAAACAAGCCGGTAAACCGGCTTGCCGGGGCACAGAGCGTACTCAAACAAGCCGGTAAACCGGCTTGCCGGGTTCAAGCGGTTAATATTCAGTAAGCTTAATTTCAATCAACTGAAGCAGTCACCAGGAAGCCATTAATTTTTTTTTATTTCAAATTTTCCCTGAGTGCTATGAGATTCTATAAATATTTAAACATTTCATTGTGTTTTTTATAATATGTGTTTTTATTCCGTCAAACGAGATCGCCTGCGTCACGTCCGTCTCCGTTTAGATTTTGCTAACTCAGCCACATTCCCGCGTGGGTCGCATAGGTAGACTACCGGTACCGCGATTTGTTATTGGCCTTCCGTGTCCCTATATCTGAGCTCTCTTATTTTAAATCGATCTCATGGGAAATGATAACCTATTTATTTAATATTTCATTTCGACAAATCCATCTAAATGTACGTAAATACGTATGGACTAAATGAATATATTAAACGAAAAATAAAATTTCAGGTAGACAACTGCAAGGTACAACTGATCTACAAAGATGGATTGTTTAGTGCCGAACCTCTACAATCCGAAAACAACGAGAACGACGTGAGTTTAGAAACATAAATTTTTTCTTGGTGTGTGTAAATATTTGAATCGTCAACAATGGAACGGTGTTGTAGCCAATCTACCAGAGCAACGCTTAATAAGTTAGATTTTACGAAAAAGACAAAGAAAGAATCAATTCGTCGAATAATGAAGTCAGCCCGCGATCTGAGTAAAATATTATTTTTCTGCTGCGAACAAAATCAACATTAGATTTTTCTTATTTTTTTCTAGGCCATTGATTTAAGCTATTGAGCTGTAACATTTTAACCATTAGTAAAGTAGGCATATGTGAGAATACTGAACCAACAAACATCCTAAAGATTACAGAAACTACCACATTGCTCATGTAACATATTGTGGAAACCGCGACGTTTCTACTAAATTTCTTTCTAATTTCCAAAACGCTTTTTTTCTATCTCTAGGTTTCCACAGAAGAGGGGAAACTTGAGATCGCCCCGGAAATTCTGGAAAATATAGATGACGAAAGAATGCACCGCAGAGGAAGGCGCCGAAAGCATCATCGTCGTCCTCGCCCGAAACATGACAATGTACCCATACCGAAAACACCCGAGTGAAAATAAATTACGAAATGCTGTATACAACCTCATCTCATTAATTTTTCACAAAATCATAAATTTTCCATTTAAAACTATTACTTTCTTGAATATATGTTTTTAATATAATCCACAGTAAAAGGCCATGGGAGGAGCGTTTAAATGGGAGGGAAAATCGAAAAATTGAGTTTCCATTCACAAACCCTATAACGCATATAACTAATGCCATTGAATACAATTCTAAATAAAGTAAATTAATTAATACAGGTATCACGGATCTCTTGCATAATGGTTGCACCATTTTGAAAAAAAAAATCGAAAGTCGATAGGGACGTTCGCCCCCATTTTCTTGTCCCCAAAAGTATAATGAAACGTCATATGTTTTAATGAATTTATTCTATAAAAGTTTGCAAAGCATAGTCGCCAAATCCTATATTTTGAACTTTTTTTGTTTTCTGTTTATAGGATTTTGTATGTGGACAGCCGCATTATTTTTTCACGACGGCCGCTGTGCACCGTTGTTGTAGAATGTAGATGAACCGCCTGATATACTTTCTTCTCATGGTCAGCCACGAAATCGCAGCAAAAATAAATTATAGATTCACGCTATTATGCATTATTAATTATTTTTCAATGTAACGAACAGCAGCTGAAATGATTTACCTCTATTTGTTCTTATTTTTATTTTTGAAATATCTATTTTGAACGTTAGTTGATTGTAAATATATATATGATAAAAATTATAATGAATAATGAAGCCAGCTCGCGATCTGAGTAAGAGATTATCTTCCCGTTGCGAACAAATTCAACATTACAATTTTCTAGACCATTGTTTAAGTCATTCAGCTGTAACATTCTAAACATTAGAAAAGTTGGCAGATGTTACTGAACCAACAATGATCCTAAAAATTACAAAAACTTCCGCATTGCTCATGTTTTCTGATCTACTTTCTTCTCATGGTCAGCCACGAAATCACAGCAAAAATAAATTATAGATTCACGCTATTATGCAATATTAATTATTTTTCAATGTAACGAACAGCAGCTGAAAGGATTTAACTCTATTTGTTCTTATTTTTATTTTTTAAGTAACTATTTTGAACGTTAGTTGATTGTGAATATATATTTTTGAAACAACTATTTTGAACGTTAGTTGCTTGTAAATATATGATAAAAATTATAATAAAAGTTTTTTGTTCCGTCGAAGAAGACGACGAGCCTGGTTTACCAATTCAGCGAATGATTTTCCTATTATTACAGTCATTTTGTGTCGCTGCAATTATGACCAGAAAGCAATGCACAAATATATGAAAACAAGGTACACTGGAAATTTACTTACACTGCAGAAATCTGCAGCAGCGGTGTTTTTCGACTGGTATGACGTAATTCCGTGTGGTGGCGCAATATTCGCACAAATAACAAAATTTTGGGGTAAGATATCTTGCTGAGTAAAACTCAAAAAAAAAAATATGTAGTATTTTTTTTATGGGAATCAACCATTTATGAGTACTAAAAATTTGAATACGATTCCACTGAAAAGCGTTAATTTCAACAACAAATGTCGCACCAACAACAACCCCTTAGAGATTCTAAACGTCGTGTAAAAAAAATGTCACAAATGCCCGAGAAATAAAATATTGAAATGAATATAGAAAATTAAAATCTAGGACACTGATGGAAAATATTTTGTTAATATGAGGAGTATCATAGCCAAAACCAGAAAAACACAGGTGGTTTATGAAACTTAAAACACTTTTAACTCTACAAAGAATTGTAAATAGTGGGGGCTAATATTAGATGTAACTTGTCATGACGTTATATTATAGGCTTATAGCAGTGCTTCGACCAGCATAACGCACTTTTTGGGCCTAAGGACTCCAAACGTATATTCAAACAGGGCTTATTGCTCAGCCACATTGATTTTTATTGATATAATTCGATTTAAAAATCTCAGTCATACACACAAATTTAAAAAAAATGTACTTTTTAAAATCTAGCAAAATGTTAAGAGAAGTATCTCTATCCAAAGAATCTTTTTATACCGTGAGCTTGCTTTAGTGGTATGGAAATTACCTGAAGAGTAGACTTAGGCAGTTGATCCCCGAATACCATAATCAAGAAAACTAGCACAATTACAAAAAATTGCAACTGCATGGAAATAATACGTTTCATATGAGAGATAGCCAGACTAATTTCTAACACCTTGTTAGAAGTGTTAACATCGCATATCTGTTTGTGCTGTTAGAAAAAATGTTTGGTTAGGTATATACGCGAGCAGGGATCTACGAAGTATACATCTTAAAATAACAAAGAAAACAAACGACAAGATCAATCAAGCTTTATTTTGACTTGATGATAATTATGATATCGCGTATACATTTGTACATGTTTTTGATAGAGTTTAGTTCAGGGTAGCTCCACATAGGGTAAAAACGAAGTAAAGAGGTATTCATAACATGAAAAATTTGAAATATCTTATCAATATGAACTTTATTTATTTTCGACATAGTGTCGAACAGTTAAAAACTTATTGGTACTGCGTGCTCGATAATAATTCTCTTAAGTCGAATAAATAGGCATCGCTTCTATCGACGTCTGTAAATGTATCTAACTGTTGATACCATAATGTATAGGTTGTTGGCCCTTATACAGCAGATGTATTAAATGAATTGAAAAAACTTAAATAAAAAAAAACTGAAACAAAATATGTTTGGAACTGAATTTAAAGCACAATTGAAATTGTATCGAGTATATTAATACAATATTTATCATCATTATTCCAGTTTTGAATAAATCTGATTTTTTTTAAATTTTGAATCTGAAATATGTGAAAGATGCGATTTCGGTCGTTAAATATTTCTTTGTTTGGCTAAATTGGTTTATTCAGTGTCTATAACTATATAAATTTATAAATATTTATATAGATCCCTCTCTCCTCAAATAAAATTATGCAGCATAAATTGAGTTGTAGAATTTATGTACGTTACTGACAGTAATAAACTGTATTTACGGTATGTACTCTGTATTGATCGAATGTCGTTTTAACGTGCTTTGTGCTTAATGCTCAGTATCGTATTTTCTTATCGTCATTATTTCTATGTTATGTCGTCATTCGTATCGGTATGATTAGCCGTAACACGTCACCAGTTGTTTGTTTCGGTAATTTTCAGGTGACAGAAAACGTACATGCAGTGTTATAAACAAATTAAATGCGAAGAAAAATTTTGAACAGAGTTAGACGAACGACAAGCACGAAGTTTCAATGAATATCGGTTTGCCCAGTTAGATATTGGAAAAATGTGTCAGTAGCTGTCATAGCAGCAACCTTCGTTTACATTATATGACAAAAATGCGCATTGCTATATGCTTTTTCGGCGATTTACTATCGAAGAAATAGCCAGAAATACTCTAGTTAACATTTGAGCTTGTTTTGAAGATTTAATTGCAACCAAAAATGTTACGGTATCCTAGCTCGTGAAACCATCGGACCATCACAAATTAATACTTAGTTCGGTGAAGATCGCTAGCCAGTGATGGATTATGTCTCTAAAACATGCTCCCAAACCCACTAATGTATGAATATAACGTTTCTGACTGATCTATGATATGGTATCGAAGGTTTCGGCTTTCGCCTCTTAACAACAATACAAGGCCGACTATTTATGTAATAATAGATTCAGCCTCAACTGAAAATTTAATAGCATAAATAAAGTAAGCGATGTCACCACGACAAAGTTGTCATAACAGATTGCAATGAAAGATATCGAGACTACATCAATTCAAAACTTTGTATGATTTCATTAACAGTCTAGTAATAATCTATCAACGGCCAATACCAACTGCGAACTTATTATCCCGATAAAGGATGTCAGAACCGATCATGTACTAGTATACAAACATACACTTTGAAAGGGCATATAACGCTCGTCAAGAAGTCCAATATTGTATGGCATATCTTCAAAAAAGTAATTTTTGAAACACCATTTTATTCTGTATAGTTCTGCCCACATTGTTGTACTTTATGTCTTCGCTTTGCCAGTTCATTTATACTATTTTTCAAACGATCGAACGCGCATCGGTTTTGTTTTGCAGTTCAAGCTGATAACGTTACGGGCCTGCAGCCATAATTATCATGGAGTGAGTGCATTCAATATTACGTCAAGGTGAACCGCAAGTTTTTTAGACTCAACATCGTTAGATAGTAGTTCAACTGAATGGCGTATACTAAAGTAGATTCTGTTGGAAATCTGTCAAATTAGGCTACCAGTAGTAGACAGGAACAGGTCAGTTGTCCGAGAATATAACGATATAGGGCTTCATATCCAAAGGGTCATCTAAGCTTGCAAGGTAACAAACGATTGCAGTGGATATATAACGACTTTTTGTATTAATAATACTATTACGAAGACGGGTAACTATATTTCGCGAAACGGGATAACACCAAGGTTTCGGGCGACTACTATTAATTCAATAATTATTGAACCGTTCAAATTATTCTAATAGGTAAATTTCAAAATATTCTATATTGCTCGATCTCAATCAATCGGCCCGACACTACGAGAGAATTATTAAAAGTAAAAATAGACCGGCTTTGCCATGGAAAATGATAGCAATACTTAAAAATTCTTGCCTATAGCATCGTTGAATGAAGCTGTCTTTTGCAATGGTAGATTTTATCTTCTTCATGCATATCATTCATGCATATTTCTTATTGGCATTCCCCAAGATTGAAAATCCATATATATATATCTGTTAATTTACTATTCCCGTTTTGCTAGTTTTTCGGACAGGCTGTCGATTAGGAATACATCATACCGTAACTGAGAAACTTTGATACTGTTGTACTTCGTAACTGCGGTGGAGAATGTGTAGAACTTAACGCAAACCAGAATGATCTCGGGAATTGAATATTTGTGTAATCAACTGAAAGACGAATCTGAGCAACGTCACGCTACAGCCTTCCTAGATTGACAGAAAAGTAAACTCGTGACGATAGCAGCGTTTGAATAAACTAAAATAAATTGAAATCCAAACTCGAACCCGACAAAAACATCATCCCTCCTATAAATTATGTGAAATAAGTAACAATTTTTGTATTTATCTTTGGAATATATTTTTCTCGTAAAAATTGATAGCAATATATAGGCATTTGTATATATGTATATAGACTTACGCGAAATAATCTTATGACATATGTAACAATGGTAGATGCAATATCTATGATCTGTTATTCCATATTTTTTGGCAATTTTTGTATCAGTAGTAAATTATTCATCTGATCCTTTTATCTAGAAATATAGGAACAAACTGTCAGATTCATCCATTATTCACTGGTGGTGATAACATTTCACGGTTGGCGAACAAAATACATTTTCAATTCATACCTTGCAATCAGTTAATAATACTTGATAAAGGCATTTAGAGTGATATTATACGACGGTAGCCAGTGGGATTTCTTCATTAGACTCTGATAATAAAAAGACACTTTTATGCCCGGGAATTAAGTTGTATAGCAAATGTAGTGAGTACAGTATATAGCAGTTGTCGTCAAACTTTTTACTACTGGGCCAAATGTTCACATTGGCGGTAGCGTGAGGGTCATATTCATTTTTGGCTTTAAAAAATCGCCACAATGAACTTCAAATTATGGGGCACCCGCAACTCCTATTTCAGTGTTAATAACAACTAACGGTAGGCACGACATACAGTTGATATATATGTGCTTTGGCTTACGTCAATTAATACAAAACAAACGCCATTGTAACGATAGGCAACTGTGGGCAGATGATAAATTTATGGGTAATTTTTTGTTTTTTAGCATTGAGAGTTAGGGCGTTCGAGGGCCACAAAAAATTTGTTCAAGGAATGCAGTTTGCCGACAACTGCTGTAGGGATTGGAGTCTACTACATTAGTCTAATACATTTTTGGTATTTAAATTTATTATCCGAATTTCATCTGTTCACTGGAAACGGATTCATAATCTATTTGAAGCAATTATGAGTGATAATTATTATTTTTTTTATCGTATCATCAACATAAAATGTCCTATCATCAGAAAGCATATCGGTGGTCTATTCGCGCACATGCCGCTTTGCAGGAATATCTCAGCAAATGTAGTAGGTATACTTTTCGTGCTTTAACCTTATGTATAAAGAATTTCTCGTATTTGTATTTTAGAGATGAAATCGTGATATGCTCGAATTCGAAAATAATGTGTCAAATAGACACCGATTCGGGGTAGGTTTTATAAACAAACCTTCATGTACAATCAATTTTTTTTGTTTC